GGATGGAAGAGCAGTAAATTGTCTTAATTAGTTTTCAGAGCACTACGCTAATTTTTTTCAAGTCTGTTTCAATAGTTGTGCCAAGAAATGCATCTTATACAGCCACTTTGGATAAGCAATACATTGTACTGTATATATAGCAATTACTGTCATTAGTTTGAGTTAAATGTCTGAATGATAACTAGTGCCTGTTTAATACAAATTGGAAAAGAGCATAGGTCTTCATCTTAAGGTGCTGATTCAAAAGAACTTCCCTATTTTGATTCTAGGAAATTGTGAATTCTTGTGGACAAAATGTTGCTATGCTATACTGAGATTCAAACTGATTTTTGGTTTCTCTGTTAAAAAAAAAAAGTTCATAAAATCCATTGGTTTTGGTTTGCAATGTAACTGTAAATATGTGAAACTGTATTTGTCTTTGTGTTTGAAACTAAATTTGGTGTGGTGGTAGTGAAGGATGAGAGGGAGGGAGAGAACAAGATTCCCTTGCTGAAGCCCACTGCACATCATTGAATGGTGTGGATTTCAGCCTGGGGTAAGGTGTTTGAAATAAGTGAAAATTAATGGGATCAGCATCAGCCTCACTGAATAAATGCAATAAAAGGCTAACTGACAACACTATTATTCTGTTCCTCACTGATTACAGGGTTTTTTTGTTGTTGTAAATTTGAGCACATGCATTATGTAATTTGTAAAATGAAGTATTAGTGGAGACCTTGCTACAACACTATTGAAAATCTTCCCTTTTTGTGAGATAGGAGGTTTAGAGAATAGTGAGATTCTTTTGTGTGTTGAATCTTAGTTATGTTCCTAATGGTGGAAGTACTGACATTTGTATCTCACTGTGATCTGGTACTTCGGTATTTGCATAAACCGGCAGTCCTGTATATTCTTTTGGCAAACTGTAAATATAAATGTTTCATATTAGCATAGCTGAATTTTTGAGGTACAGACATTTGTGTGGGATTAGAGAACTTTATTTCTAAGAACTTGTAAAAAAAAAAAAAAAAAGAAAAGTATTTTCAATAAAATTCCCTACCTCACCTCTATTGTGCAGAAATTATCCCATTTCCTATGTTCAGTTTTCCAACTTCATTTGTAGATGCAAATATCTCTTTTTTGTTATTAGCAAAAATAGTATTTTCCATTAAAGCAATCAAATAGTGAATTACTTTAAATTTGAAGCATAGTTTATTTCTTTTGTTTCCTTCACTGTATGGTGCTCAGGTTTAGGAACACATGGTAAATAGTATTTGCACACAACAAAGGCGAATTCTAGATGTTTTTTATGGCATCTGAAGAGGTGCATATATCTGTTCCCTAACTCTGCCTGTGTGTAATTTAATTGTAAAGGGATTGGCCATGATTGATACTGCTTTGTTCTTTTGGTACCTTCATGGCTGGGGGGGAGGAAAGTGGAAGGGGAAGAGGGGAGTGACAGGAACCTTCTCTTTGTAAGACCATGGGTGGAAAGGTTCCTAGTCTTCTTTGTGTGAAGGGGATTTGAGGAAACAATGTGTTTGCTTTCTTTAATTGCAGTTGTAAATACACATTCTAATAATGAGATCTAAAAATAGATGTCTAAAAGACTTTCAAGTTACTATAAGATGAGCTTGCCAATTAATCCATCCTTTTTCTGAAATATTTAACTCCTTACACTTTGGGGTCTGGAGGGGAGAGCCAGCCAGAAGTTCTCTCACGTTGCTGCAGGGAATTACATTCCTGAAGAAGGAATAGCCTGCAGACCTGGATAGAGTGAACTTAAATCAATGATCTTTACTCTTAAAAGTTGGAAGTACTTGGTTTTTATTCCTTTATGTTCCCCCAGTCAAATTGAACCAATTTTCTTGCCATAGTTCAGAGGCTGTTTTAGCAATACCTGTAAACCTCACTTTCTGAAGCTGCCTCATGTCATGGGTCCCTTTGGGAAATAGGAGAGAGAAGATTGGTCTGCTCTGGGGTTGGAATCACTTCCTCAGGAGAGATTTTGATCTTTTTAGTTGTATGCAAGAACTGGATTTGAGATAGGGTTGTAGCAAATAGCACCAGTTCCTGCTGAACTCCGTGAGAAAGGCGTGCAAGATTATTATAGTTTTGAGCCCAAATCTTAAAGATTGTGGGTTTTCTGGGCTTGATGTCTGTGTCCTTGAGAAAAAGATCACTGCATGTATTTTGAGAGGAATATTTTAATGTCATTGGTGTCTGTAGTTTCGAGACCAGTGCAGAATAGTTGGGTTGGCAAGTCTTAAGAAAGCTAACTTTTTCCTGAGTGACAGCTCAGAGCTTTAAATGTTATTAATAGAATAAATATTAGGTATCCTCTAAAAAGGTAAAGGGATGTGATTTCACATGCTCGAATTCTAACTCCAAATGTTGAGGAATCTTAGTGTTACAGTGTAACTATACCTGCTCCCTGGTAGCTTGCATGCTTTTAGAATGCGTTCTTTGCTGCTCTTTTGCTTCTGGCCCACAGTTTTAGGAATAAATACTGTGCTATATGTAAAAAACAAAACAAAAGGCTTGCCCTCCTTAAATACAATAAATCATAAGGCAAGCGTGTCCCTTTTCAGAGTCAGTCATCAAAAAAAAAAAAAAAGGATTGAAGGTTTTTCAACTTTTCTCCTTGTTAACAGGTTATCTGAATTATCTGGATTCTGATGTGAAAAATCTCCTTAGGTGAGAAATATGCAGTTGTCAGACTTGTCTGTAGAATGTTCTACTATGCCAGACCCAGCTGAGCTGCCCGAGATGCCCTAAATCAACATGATTGTTTGTTTAGCTGTGCTGAACACATGGCTGGTATGCAATCGCGTGTCCTTGGGTCTCAAACATGCTTCAGCTTAAAGAATTTTTGTTGCAAGCACTGGCATTAGACAACAATCTCTGTCTCTAAATCCAGTTAAACAAAAGCAAAAATTCACTTTCATATTTTGGTAAAATTTTCAGGTTCAGGTTTAGAAACTTTAATGCTTTTTAAAAAAATGGAAATTAACTTTAGCTTAATTAGCTGAACTAAACATTACATTCAAACTCTAAATAACAATTACTAACATGAATATTAGGGAACTCAGACTTTAACAGAGGATGTTAGTTTTGCATATAGGATGTGCATAAGGAGGAAGGTTCATAGCTCTGAACATTTTTAATTAATTGCATGTCTTAAAGCATTCCCACTTTTTCCCTGTTCCCAGTATCACTTCATGCTAAGTAAAAACTCATGTTTACTTTGCAGCCTTTTTGGAGACATTACCTTAATCTTAGAAGAATTAATATACATTATGGAATTATGTACATCCTACCCGAGTTCATGTGCCAGGGCTTCTACCTTTATTCAGCGAGGTACTTCAATGTGAAGATGCTCAAGTTACCATGGATTTTGACAGGAGGACCAGCTGGTATTCCTCAAAGTGGGACTGATAACTGTTTAAACTTTGAAGATTTCTGTAATGCTAAGATTTCTCTTTATACTGGCATGATGTTCTGTTATTGTTATGTGACATCATACCTACAGAAACTATTAATAAAGAATTTTGCTAGAAGTACTGATTTCTCTTCATTTTTATGAAATTTAGACCAAATAGCTCTCTAAAGTCATACTACTGGAATAATGTAAGATTTAAAAGCTATTTAAGTAACTGAAGAGTTTAATGCTCTGCAGAAAGTTGATGTTCTACAAACCAACTTTTTGTTGTTTTCCTTCTTTCCATTTTGTGAAACACCCATTTTTGATATTGCTGCTGGTGCAGAAGTCAGGGCCTTTAACTTTTGAGGGCTCAGCCCCTGAAAGCTCCAGGGCTGAATTTTACTGCATTTCTTCCTAGATCCCAGCCACTCACAACATCATAAAGTTCACCACGGTTTGTGTCTTATTCCCCCAAAATCTTAACTGTACTGAGAAAGAAGCCCCATGAGAAAGAGGACAGTATAAATGCTAATGCCTGCAGCATTTGCTATTGATTGTATCAGAATATTTTTCAAATTTATTCTCATTCCATTCAGTTAATAGTAGGTAGTAACTAGTTAGTGTAACTACCTGTAAAATGGTGCAGACTAAGACTACATCGCCTCCATGGTTTCACTCAAGTGTTTCTCAAAATAGTTCAAGACTTAGGTAAAGGATGTTGAAAATTAGTTGTAGCTTCTTGAGTGATTCAAATGGTACCTTACAGCCTTTGCAAATAAGAGAAAGGTAATGCTCCTATGCTTCTGCTGCTCTGTATCAGCAAACAGAAGTTTGAAAATTACAGCATGTCACTTGAATTAAAGAGGGCAGCTGAGAGAATCCTGTCAATGTGTATCCATTCCTAATGAGGGGCAGTCAAGAAGATAGAGCCAGACTCCACTGTGTTATCCAGTGGTGGGACAAGAAAAAGTGGGCACAACTTGAAATACAAAACAGCCTGCTCAAATATTTTATTTTCAGTATGAGGAGATTTGAACACTGGAATGTGTTGCCTAGAGGAGCTGTAGAGTCTCCGTATTTGGTGATACTCAAAAGCCCAAGGACAAGTAACTGAGCAACCTGTGTGTCAGCCCTGCCCTAAGCAGTGCAGTTGGAATACACCATCTCCAGCTGTCCCTTCCAACCTCAATCCATCTGTAACCCGAAACTGTCCATAAAATGCCATGCATTGTTAAAAAAAAAGATGGTCTCAAATCTTGGATGCATAATTCTAGAGAGACTAGGAAATTACCTTGATGTTAGCTTAATAAAGGTACATCTGTGTGCAGCTGGGTATCTCTTGTCATTATGACTACAGTATCTTGAGCTTGATAAACCTCCACAGAAAAGGATAAGAAAGACTGGTATGTGTGTACTGCCTAGTTTTTTCTATTCACCAGCTACAGTTAAAAGGCCCATCAAGCTGAACAATAACTTCAATATGTTTTATGCCAACATAATTGTGTGGTTTGGAGTTTCAACAGGATCTTCACATACACATTTAAAGACTATCTATGAGTTTGAGAAAAGTTTTCACAAAGCTTTTTGCATCTGTAAAGCTTTCAGCTGATACCATTCACGTTCCATAGGTTTTTACTGAAAATCAGCACTCCCAACTTACCTTACTTGTCATGTGCTGGTGGTAGTGGGTTTTTTTCCCCTCTAGAATCTCCTTGGAAACAACAAAATTGTGGCCTTGTGTTCATAGTGAATGAATGCCCATTCCAATGAGTACAGATGTGACAAAAAAATGTTAAGCATTGTCTAAAAATAGACTTATTGTCTATACAACCAATCTGCAGTATGTTCTGCTGTTACTTCTAACTCCAGTTTGTTCTGATCTTTTTCACAAGCAGGAATATTTTTCATAATAGAAAATGTTTTACTCACTTGACAGGAGTTCTGAACAATTCACTGCCTTCCTTTCACAAAGGGATGGTCCAACAACTGCAGAGCAGAAGGGCGTTCATGTTGATCTCTGCATCGAGGATTTGAAAAATCAGTACATAAACTGGATGTGCATGCACCGTATATAATTATTTGTAAAAGCTAAAAGCATACTAAGCCATTTGTTTTTCTCTTATTTCTCCGGTGATTAGTCCTTTTCGGGTTGTTTTTTTAAACTTTTTTTTTTGTTGTTGTTTTAATAAGACTGACAGAAAGGATGGCAGAATTTGTGGGAAGATGCAGTTGGCATTTATGACTTAAAAAAAAAATGGAATAATTTATTGCAAACATCATTCTTTCACTAAAATCTTTCCAAAACATAGAATAATTCTGTAAATTTGGCTGTTCAGGTGCACAAAAAATGTATTTAAGGAACATGACAATGATTTGCCTGAACTTGTGTCTGTTCTGTCATCTCCAATCAACATAATTCACGTTACTGAGGCCATTTGGAATTACAGCATTTCTAGAATTAAGGAGTTTGCACCTTTTTAACCCTCAGTTTGGACTTATTTCAAAAGCAAAACAGGAAAAAGGATAAAGGATGCAGATTTCCTAAATAATAAACTAATGGGAAAGAAAGAATGAAGGAGTCACTTACATTTGCAGCATGATGAGATCATATAGTAAAGTTTTGCCACTATAGACACACATGAGGTTTTTGTTTGTTTTTGCTGGTGGTGGTTATTGATTTTTAGTTTTTATTTGGTTTGTTTGTTTTATAAAGTGAATACTGCATTAAAAACTCTACCTGTGTATTTCCTATTACCTTAACAATTCCTACTACCTTCTCAATACTATTGTCTCTGATACAAAGTATATATGATGTTGCTATTTACTGACAACAGTTTTTCTGGTTACTATTGTAAGGCTCATAGCTAACAGAGCCATAACAATTCTAATCCAAAGATAAGAATTCAAGTTTCCTGCCTCTGAGGCCACTACCATGCCCACTAAATAACATGCTTCTCCCTAGTGACAAAGTCTGATCTTCAGATATATGTAAAAGGCTGCTATTAATTTGCTATTCATTTCATAAAGACATTCAGTTAAAAAACTACATACCTGGTTAAGCATGCATGCACAAAGTCCACTGCCGTTCCGGAGAATCGATCAGGTAGAGAAGGCATCAGTCCCCTGTGAGCGCCGATGTAGAACATGGCTGCTACTCTGTCCATGGAAGCCAATGGTGGTTTTCCTGTTGCCATCTCAAATACTGTGCAGCCAACGCTCCAGATGTCTGATTTCCTCCCATATCCAGATTCATTGATAACTTCTGGTGCCATCCAATATGGAGTCCCATGCACAGACTTGAGCATCTCGCTGTGTGTGCCGCTGAGGCTGACCCAAGCTAAACGCCGGGCACAGCCAAAGTCAATTAGCTTTACTATTCCATTTGGCATGAGCATAACATTATTGCCCTTGATATCTCTATGTACTACACAATTGTCATGTAAATATGCAACGCCTTCTAGAATTTGTTTTGTGTATTTACAAAGGACAATTTCTGGCAATGGACCAAAACGATTAAGAATACTGGAAATTGAGCCACCAGGAACAAACTCCATGAAAATATTTAAAATGTTGTCCTCCAGACAAGTTCCTAAGTAAGTTACAATATTGACATGCTTCAATGTCTTTAGAAGATCAACTTCCTCATGCAGCTTCTGGTACTCCTTTTCTGTAGTCAGTCGATCTGACGTATCCAAAACAACCTGCTTTACAGCTATTAATTGTCCCTGGTTTGTCAGACCGCAGTATACCTACAATGAAACTAGCATTTATTAAAATGAAACATGAAATTAAAGTGTATGATTACTTATTTTAAATTACTTCCTTTGTTTTTGTCATATGTCACGTCTCACTGTATAATGCAAAATATTTAAGTTATTTATTGAACAAGAAAGTAATCATTTAGAAGGTAAGATATAGTTCTGAGATAACCAGTGCATCCCTTAGCATATTGAGACTTCAACTTACTGTGCCATAGGCTCCCTTTCCAAGGACTTCACCTCTTGTCCACATGATGGTATCCTTGTTATTTAAGTTGCTTCCTGGTATTTGAGTAGATTCCTCAAAGTTCAACAGTCCACTTTCTTCACTTGATGCCAGAAAGGCTTTTCTGTAACTCTGCTTGGAACATGATGGTTAGTGTGAGGAGAAAGAAAGGAGGAAAAAGGCCTCGTATTATTGTTACTTTTTTACAGACAGTAACTTTCACCTGGCATGAATCTTTTCCACAGATTTTTATATATATATAATCCTTGCCTGGCACATCAATACAATGGCTATGCTACCTAAGACTACATAAATATTTTCAAGTATATATCACAACAGTAAATAATCTGAAGATTACAGCATCCCATCTTTTTTGCCATTGAAAGCAAGCTGGAAGAAGGAACACTTAAAAGAACAGGATATATATCAGGTTACTATTTTATTTTATTTTTTGGTCATATAGCTAAAGTTTGCTAAGCTTAAAGGGGAATATGACAATTAATTTGCCCTAGGTAACATATATAATCCAAGCCTCATGAAAACAATTTGGAGGGGAATTCACAAGAAGAAAAGACTTCTTAAAAAAAAAAAAAAAAAAAAAAAAAGCAACCCAGTAATAATTACTGCATGCAACCACAGATCCCTAGAAGTATTAATGGAGGCACAATTGGCATTTGTGTTTGCAAAAGCATAAGGAAGTGCATCAAAACATAGTGAATTAATTTTCCTTGTAAATTTTTAATTTAAATGGAGGAAAATCTAAGAGGGTAAAGGAGAAGCAGTGCTGGCAGGTAAAGTCATTAGTAGGTAAGGTTTCTTCACAGAGTGCGGGCCAGAATCCAACCAAGCCTTCTGAGCTTGAAATTTAATTGAATATTACTTAAACAGTCGTGATAAACCAATATTTGTAGTTAAACCAATTAAAGTAGCTTCTCCCTTTTTTTCACTACAATTTCTCAATTTAACTTGACCCAGCATCTAAGTCTTTCTGGCTATGTCAGTCATGCCTAAGTACCCTATGGCCCAGATCAGACAGGCAGCATCTAATATCAGTATCCTCAACTGAACACTGGAAGTCCCAGTGGGCAGCTGGCCCAAGGAGAAGAAACTTGATCATTAATGAGCACATATTACCAGTACTTTAGTTAAGCACTTATTATTGAGTTAACATGAAGACTCATTTTTCATCCAACACTTTGTTGAAGCATCACTTAAAGGAGCAAGCAAGTTACAAAAATTTAATTTTACCTTCTCTAGATCATTATTTACTATTTCTCCATCTCTGTTCATTATGTTTCCTTCTTCTTTAGTATAGGTATTCTGCATTTTAGAACCTGCATATTTTGTCCTTGAAGAGTTGATGTCTTTGTCTTCGAGCATTAGCAATTCTGCAGCCAGACAACAAAGCAACTCATCGGTTACATCCTTATTACCTGCCCAAGACAAAATGTTTCGACTTGTCTGGAAACTGGGGCTTGTAACATTTGTTGTCTGAATCACTGAAGGCTGACTGAGTTCATTTGCCAAAGTACTGTTCTGAGGTGTGTATGACCAACTGTGACTTAATTTGTTTGTAAGGAACTGACAGTCCTGTTTATCTGAAAAGGGCAATGCTTCTCCTTGATTTAGAGTCTTGAAGGAGGCCTGGTCTGATTCCAGGCTTTTGCAGCCATTCATATCCACTCTGTACTGGGGTACGCAAATGTTCTGGTCTGCTGTTATTAAATTGTTACTTAGAGCAGCACATTCTGTGTAGACTTTATCGCTGAGTTGAAGAAGATCCTGACTACAGGAAGCAGCTATCTGATGGCTGGATAGATCCTGACTGTCTAGAGACTGCTCTGAAGAGGCTTCTTTAATAGTTGATAACTTTGAATTTGAAAGAATTTTGTTTGGCTTGGTTGATTCTGAAAGCTCTTTTAAAAATATAAGCTGATGATCTGTGTCTCCATGAAACAATGTCACGCTACTTGAAGTTTGTATTTGACAATCTGGACCAGAAGATATTACATTATCTTGCTCTGTGTTGCTACCACTCAATTCAATACTTTTGTTGTTTGCATGTAAGCCTTTCTGCTTTTGTTTAGTGACAGATATGGTCTTCTTTGGCTTAGAATGTGTTCTCTTTTGAGTATTTCTTATTCGGCTGCTGTCTCTTCTTTTATTGCAGGTAGAACTGCAGGTGCTAGCAGTGCATCCCCCAGGTGGAGCAGAACAAACATCTCTGTAAAAACTGTTCTCAAGATGATCAAGCTCACGCACGTGGGAGTAGACAGGAGTTCCAAACATTTCATAAACATCTGGGCCTTTGTCATTTGAATTTATTTTCTTGAACATATCACTGTATTTCAGTTGTACAAACTCTGAAGCAGATTGTGCATATTGTAGAGAAAGGGGAGTAACAGGTTTCTTTGAGATAACTAGATTTTTACAACTGCAGGAAGAACTTTGCTTTTTAAGTTTCTGAGAACTCTGAAGAAAATTACATTTGTTGGCTTGAGGTTTTTTTTTTTTGACACTTCAGGAAAGTCTCAGAATCCATGCATGGCAGTTGCAAAGATGGAAAAATCTGCCTCTTGGCATTCCTCTTTTGTGTATTATGTTTTATGGAAGTCTCATCAGAAATAACTAAGCCTTCAGGTGTCCTTGTCTTGCTACTCATTTTAGATTTTGATGAACACTTGTTTCTATTCAACTTTATCTCACTTTTGTCATTGTCTTTGCGAGCAAGAATGTTGAAGCTCTGACTGATATGAGGAGGCAGGCTACGAACAGTACTCCTTTTTCTGGCAGGATGTTTAGCAATGCGTGGTTTCCTAAGTAGTTCTTGTTCAGAGAAAGTAACGTGGACAACAGGAACAAGCTCATTTTGACCTTTTGCAGTCACTTCTGACATTGCTTTATTCTCCATTTCAAACTTGAGAAGACAAATATTATTTTCTGTTTGTTTTCCAGAACAATCATGCAGTTCTTCTCCAGGAATTACTGCAGCTACAGAATTATCTTCCAAGACATGGCAGGACTCACTCACTTCATTTTTTCGTGAAGAATCTAAATTACAATCACCAAGCATGAAGGGTACACTCTCAGCATCTTCACATGGTCTACAGTGCAGTATTATGTCCGTAATGTCTTCTTCTATACCAGTTCTATAGGAATTCTCCTCTCTTTCTTCCTTCTCACCAGCTCTTAAAATATCTGTGTTTTTTGACACAGGACACAGAGCTGTAAATAGTCCACAGTTTTTCACAACATTATTTGAGCTCAGGTAAAAAAGACAAGCATCACAAAAACTGTCTTTGGTCATAATATCTACATTTTCACAAGCCACTGAAAACTGGGACTTCTTCCAGTCCCTCTTTTCAGTATTGGCAGCTACCTCAGCTTCTGTCCATTCCAAATTGTTTTCAATTTCTTCTTTCTTATTGTTAGGGTACTCATAATATTTATTCTTGCTGAAGCAGTACAGGCCTTCTGTTGGAGTGAACTTCTCAGAAACAGTAGCCACAATTACACCTGAAGACTTTTCAGCTTGTCTTATTACTATATTGCCTAAGTGATACTGATAAAATTTAGCAGCTGATTTTATAGGCTGAGAAATAGACTTCATAATATTCAAAATATTTCTGATCTTGGTGTGCTTATTGATGAAAATATCATCTAGAGGAGCAAGGTGAATTGTTCTTACAGGCTGAAGTGTCACTGGTGGCAAATGGAACTGTAATTTCCATTAAAAAAAAAAAAAAAATTATGTACTACACAGCAGACAAAGGTAAAATCTAATCACTAAGAACTAAACAGGTGAAGGAAAAAACATCAGAACAGGATATGTTGATGGATATATATTTATTTGACAAATTCCTGCATTTAACCTAATATGAAATGTAATATCAAAACACGGAGAAAATACATTATTTTTCTCAGATTTACTGATTTTACTCATTTTGTTGTGGTATAGAAAGTGGGATTCCTTGCTATAAGGCACAAGTCACTATCCATAATTTAAAAACAATAAGCCTTGGCCATAAGTACAAATAATATCTCAGTTCTTAACTATGTCTTATGCTATCTAGCATGCTTGATACATGAATTCAAAGGCTGGTTAGTAGTTTATCGTGCCAAAATTTCCTTCTTGCTGTGCACTCTCATGCACACTCTAAAATGTACTACAGGAGAAATTATATTCCCAATGGAACCAGATTTCATGAAAGCAATTTTTAAAAAGCAAAAGCTGTAATATTATAACAGAATGCTATTTCATCCATGGGAAAAAGAAATTATAAATTATTTATTAGTTTTAAAAGTAGTTACTTAACATGTAGCTCTTCCATGTGTTCAGTGTAGACTTGAAAAGCTCATAAACCATGTCAGATGGAATACAGATTCAGCTCAATAGCATTTTGTGAGAAAATATCACAGGCTGCGCTACATTTGTCAGTGAAGTCACACAGATGACTACCAAAAAGCCATTTTTTGATATGGCAGCTAATGCAGTAGCCTGTTGTGTTTATGATGTATTTTTTTTCCCTCCCTTCTTTCTTCTCTTTCCCTCCCATTACTTGAAAGTTACTGCACATCTTTGAAATAGAACAAATTTGAGAATTTAAATACTTTATTGTGATTACTCATATGAACAGTGTGAATAATTTTCTGAAAATATTTCTATTTTTTGCTACATAGGAAATGGGGACAAAATAAGCTCTAATAAGCTGTATGCTTTTATGCAAATGAATGCAAGAGAAATAATTACGAAGTCATATGCTCTGAGTACCCATCTGCATGTCTATATTCAACATCAGTTAGCAATCTGCAAGAAATTTTTGTTGCATTCCAAGGACAAGCAGAGGTTTGAATGTGCCAGGGAAAGCAATGAGCACTGTTTTGAAATTTACAGTTCAGAAGGCTTTGTCTAGTCTGCATGGTTTTAGTTTGAATGCTCAGTAAATCCCAAATGATAAGCTCTAGAAATCATCAGAGCCTAAGATGTGAAATAAAGCTGTATTAAATTACATTTGACATCAACTAATTTCTTGTTCTTAAACATTTCCCTCAGTTGGTAATGTGTTTTTTTTTTTTCTATAGCTTTTTATGAACTTCTGCCAGAACTTTTTGTGAATGCTTTTGTATTCTGCAGTAGCTACACTAAAGTACACAGCAGATTTAATAAGTCTCTAGTAGAAAGGACAATTAATTAATATCTATAAAGACCAAATGCTCTCTTAATAACTACAATGAATTTGATCTTCTGTGGCTTTTAAAGCTCATTTGGTGTGAGGCGCTGACTCGTTAAATGACCAGCTTGACTGTAAGTACAGGAGTATCCACAAATTTCTTTTGTCAACAATCCTGTTTACACTTCTCACAAAATTTCATGTTAAATACTATTTTAATCAACCATATAATGTCAGGTCTGTTCTTCAGTTTGGCTTCAATTTTATACTACCCATCAACACAGTAAAATTGCTTTGCTTTGTTTTTAAATTCATCAAAACTAAGTTCTGTATCTAACATACATAATATGCATACCAAAAATTAACTTATGTATTTCCATTTTAAGATGTTCTGTATCTTTTTAAACTTCCAACACTTTGCCCTCAATAATCCCTGATGCAATATAATAAACTAATATAATTTCAAACATTTGCTGATATTTATCATAACATCTATAAAAATGCTTGATGTTCATCTGAAAAGCTGCAGAACAAGCAGAGAAAACTACCCAGACTTTCTTTTCTATCATTACTTTTAAAGTTTTCAAAGTATATAAAACTTTTAATTGTGTTTAGTTTTATACATAATACCATCTTACCTCAGACTTCTTGTTCCTGTTTTCCAGTATTGCTATATTAAACCCTTAAAAATCAAAACATATTAATGTTATTGAGAAGTAAAACAAACTACAATTTTCAATTTTCATTACACAAATATTCCAAACTGTAGAGGACCAGACATTTGTCAAATGTGTGTTTGCAGAACTAAGCTATAAATCTGCTATAACAAAAAAAGTGGAAAGTTACAATTGCACTTTCTATAAACCACAGTGAAATATGGTAATATAAAAATATTTTATTCTAATAATTTAAACAAATATTTCTTCTAAATTTTAGATGTTTGCTGACTTCAACAAGTAGCTAATTAATTCAATTATGAATTAATTAGTTCCAGTAGGAGAAAAAAAGTGAAAGAGATGTCATCCTGGCCCTGTCTAGAATTCCCCTGTACATTATGTGGGGTCAGTTTTATTATACAGAGTAATGGGAATTGCAACATCTTTTCTTATGTTGCTTATCTTTATCTCTTTCATTTCCTAAATACACACACACATAATTAAAGAAGACAGGCAACATGGCTGAAGCCCACTTCATATGAAAAATTCAAACAAACAAAAAGACAATTTAAAGTTTGAAGAAAAAGGACTTCTGATGCTTCAGCATCTAACTTGATAGTGATGTTTAACTTTATTGAAGAATTCTGACTTTTAAACTTGAACTTACTTTGTTGCATATCCTTAAAAGATTTTGGAATGTTGGATTCTGGGCATGAGACCTGTAGCAGAAAGCTGAAGTCAAAGCCATGCCTTATGATCTCTTTCTTCAGCAGGAAAGGTAGAGAGGTGTGTTGTCCCATCTGTAATGTTAACTGCTTTTTACTTTGACAATGTGCCCCTTGTTTATCTGGCCACAGTCTGCTCGTTGATGTTTTTTGGCTGAAAGTCAAAAGCAAAAACCAAAATACAATGTGAAAATAAGTGGAAGGCTCCTACTCAGTTCAAATAAACACTCAACTTTGGAATAACAGGAACAAGAAACTTGTAAGATGCAGGAATGCCAAAATGTTTTCTCTTTCTTGATCCATCTAGGAAGCTGTGGCTCTGCCCAGCAGCATCTAACTGCTATGCAGCGACTGATCACAAATAGCAATGAATAACAAACAACACAGACAAAGACACAGTATGAATAGGAAAACATACTGCCCATCTCCCCTTATTGACAAAAACTGAGTGCTTCCAGCAGGTATTTTTTATGAATCATCAGGAAAGTATGTCAAAATTTTGAAGACCAGGCGGTGTGGCTTTGTCATTTATAAACTATGCTATGGCCTGCCTGCAAGAATAGAGGCTGTATGGACAAGACTCAGATTTCTGCCATCTGGTTTCTGAAGAATGGAAAATTCAAACATGGGGAGGAAAAAAAAAAGAACTTTGATTGAAAAGAGGTCAAAAATACGGTCTATCTTAAAATCTGCATGTGAGACAATTGTGTTTTTAATTAGGTCAAACACTGATGTAAAACCATAACCATAAGTTGTTTCTCCTGTTGTTCCAAACCACTAGTTCATGCAGTGCAATATCCTGCCTGTACAAGCATCAGTGGGAAGAAAGAAACACTGGGAAGAAAGAAACGCTATACAACTCAGATAGCTGTATCTAACATCTGGCACAAAGTAAATCTTTTCAAGCTCAGACTAATTCCTGCTTCATTTTCACTTTTGGATACCTAACCACAAATTAAATATTAGTTCTACTTACCTATTTTTTCCTAGAGCTTTGTATGAATCACAGATTTCTTTCACTATCTTATCTGCACTTGGAAGAGCAACAACAGCTCCACGACCTGCATTAGTACATCAGTGTATTAGTACTACATTGCTGTATGGCAGAAGACACTACTATATTGCATATCATTCACTCACCAAAGCAAATATACTTAATTTTGGCCATTAAAGTATTATTGAGATGTATCAGGGGGAAAAAAAAAGAGCAAATTTGATTTGAATCAAATACTTACATATACTTTATGTGGTAAATTTTAGACATTTGAATGCTTAAGCCTAAAATAACTTCAGCTATTTTGGTAAGTATAATAATTCAATCCACTTTTAAAAGCAAAGAACATCTTTAAAAAATACAGATACATCTCCTATTTCAGTGGAATATAAATAGAAGAAAAAAACATGGACAAACTCATTTAAAAAAAGTATTAAAACCAAACCAAATCTCAGGGCTTTCCAAAGGCAGAAATAACTCTAAGTTTTATTGAAATTTTTTTTGTGGATATTTGATTTTAACAAATGACAAGATCTCAAGTTAACATTGTTCTTTTTCTTCTCCAGATACATATATTCCATTTTACAGATTTCATTTCGTTGGTTAGATACCTTCTGTGCTTCTCCTCTTAATTTTCTGCTTTTCAGACATACTGTCCTTAGATGTTTTAAGGTCCTGAAACCTGAGAACACATTTCATTAATAGATTTCCAATCCACACGCACAAACTAGTAGATCATACTTCATTATTTTGGGATCCTATACAAGACAATAGCAGAATTTTAAAAGTACTTGAAGTTATGAAAAATTCGTAATTTAACTTAACATCCAATGCCCCATCCTGCAAATATACAAAACAAAGCAGTTCAAACACAACTTTTATTGCTAAAAATTCAGTGTATGCTATGAAGAAATGAAAACTCTCAGTATTGTTTGCTGATATCACCCATTTACAGCAGACCAGAAAGTCAACAGGTCACATTTAGAAGATAATTATATATATATATATAAACATATCTTTAACAAGCCAGATCTGAATTGTTTGTCTTTATTTGATCAAAACTCTCCCTTAGCAAAAGAGATCAATAACAAAAAGCTTTCTGAGCACAGAACAGCTCGTACACTGCAGTCTCAACAAAATCTCAATGATGACTGTTTCTGTAATCATGATGCAGCTCACATCAACCCTCTATCCTAAGAAACTCAAAAGATTCCTAAAATTAATTTCAATTTTTTTTTTCCTGGACTTGGGGCTCCTTCTGAAAAACTTGGACTTCTGTTTCTCAAATGACAAGAATACATAATGTAATTAAGTGAATTGAAATGAATAGAATAAAATATTATCAGCTAGTATTTACATTATGTTTCCCACTGTCTTTATTATTTAGCAAACAATTCAGTTTAAAAAATAGAGATATGTGTACAAATTCACAGAAATAAACATGCATTTAAAGATATGAGAATGGTAGACTTGAATTCATTAGAGTTATACAGGGTTACTGAATGCTAGAGAGGAAGATTATAAAGTCCATAATGGAAAATTCTGTAATAATGTGCCTAATATGAATAATGTGTGTATGGACTTTTCTCCATCTAGAGGTAAATAACATTTTCAACATTCATTATACATTTTATTACAAGTTATTCCCAACAGGAACTACCGCTGGCAATGGTTTGGGGTTGGGTTTGTTTACTTCTTTGTTTAGCTCATAAATACCCGCTTTTAGTCATTTCATAAATGCCTTTTTTCCTTTGGACTTGAGCTCGGGGCTCTCAGTAGAGCTACTGACGGGAAAGCAGCCCAGTGTTGCAGTGCTGCCAATGGTAAGATGAATGCAACAGATGGCAGGTAGCAACTCTGTCCTTCACAGTCGTTCAGGACTCTGTCCTTCAGGAATGGTTCTATTTCAAAGTCACGACAGAGGTCAGTGGAAATGAATGGTGCATGTAGCTCCTGTTGGATTCAGCATTTTGCTATTTACTGTTAGTCAGCAAAAGAATGTGGCTTTTGCTTCTCATTCTATCAGCAAAAAGTACACAACACGCCTTCAGCAGCAGCAGCCTTCCCAAAAGACTCATCCACTTATCTTAGATTAAAGTAATTATAACAATTCTGTGTGACACTTTTGTGTGTGAGAGAAAGAGGAATACTGCTAATACCAAACAATGCTGCACCCTGATATCAGGCAGTACTGGAGGCTTACAAAGGAGGAAGCAGAAGGACAACCTATATTCTGTAGAACAGCAGCTATAGAAGCAAGCAGCTATGATTTCATCCTTATGCTGAACACCAGATAACCCAGCAGAAGGGTCATTACATGAGCCTCTTAAGAGTTATGTGTCGAACTTTGCCAAACTTTCCCTTTTTTTTTTTTTGAATATTAAAAGATAATAATAATAATAACAAAGAAAATTTCAAATTAACAGCTGAAAAGGCTCTATAAAACAGACCGAAGCCAGCCCTTACCGTGTGTTTCCACAGCGAAGCGCGGCAAAGGCACGGATTCCACACACAGCGGGCGGGCGGCGGGGCAGCGCGTCCTGTCCCTATCGCTATCCCTGTCCCTATATCCCTGTCCCTGTAGCTATCCCTGTCCCTATATCCCTGTCCCTATAGCTATCCCTGTCCCTATATCCCTGTCCCTATAGCTATCCCTGTCCCTATATCCCTGTCCCTGTCCCAGCGGCTCGGCCGGCCCGCCGCGCTTCGTTTACACCGCGTTGCCACGGCAGCGGGCGGCGGAGCGGCACCACAGCCCTCTCCCTTCTCTCGATGCTTTCAGTGCTTCGTTCACCTCCACGTCATCTTCCCTGCTATCACCAGTAAATTCTCACTAATTATTCTCTGTCCCGCCGCAGGTAGCCTTATGCAGCAGGCCGTGAGGATTACGTTACTTGTATGTTTATGCTGGAGAAATAGTTTGTACCGCAGGGAGGCGGAGAAGGGGTGACGGTCACACACTGAGAGAGTTTCGGAGGCAACTCCCGTGGCGGTTGGCTGCGCTCTCCTGTGTGAGGGACACCGAGCCTCGTGGGGGCAGCCCGTCCCAGCCAGTCAGGAATTCGTCCTGAAAAGAGCCCCCTCACAGCGGAGAAAGTTCCACCTCACCCCCTCACGAGGCGCCGCGCGGGGACGAGGCGCCGTGTGTGGCAGCGCGCCTTCCCGCCAGCCCTTGCGCGTGGGGCGGGCCGCAGCGCAAGATGGCGGCGGACAGTGAAGTGAGTGTTTTCTCTTTCCTCCCGCCCGTCCCGTCCCGTCCGCCCCCAGCGCTCCCGGCCCGCGGCCGCCTCCCCGCTCACTGCTTCTCCCGCTCTCTCCCCGCAGCCCGAGTCGGAGGTGTTCGAGATCACGGACTTCACCACCGCCTCCGAGTGGGAGAGGTACGCGCCGCCGCCGTGCTGAGGGCGAGCAGCGGGGCTGGGGCCGGCCCTGCTCCTCACAGCCCCCGGCGTCTCCTCACCTTCCTTCCCCGGCCGGATTTCTGACGGCGTCGGGCGCGATTCGAGTTCCCAGCAACTCGGTGGCCTTGTTTTTGTTGTCAGCTGAAGTGAAGCAGGCAGTCACGGGAGGTGCTTTTGTGCAGTGCTCAGATGAAGGGATTCCTGGGCAGTGCTCGTTTGCAGTGGGTAAGAGGATCTGGGCAGGCTGTTAGCGAACCTGGTGGAAGATCAGGTTTAGCCGAGGATTGCAGTGAACGTCCATAAAGCCCATGTGTTGTAATGTAGCAGTTGAGTTCTTGCCTTGTGGTTGAAGCCCTTCGAAGTTAGCAGAGCAGCATACAGAACAAAGTCAGGTGAAGATTGCTCTGCATTCTTATGTATTCTTTAAAATACTTTTTCCAGTGAGAATATCTACAATAGAAGAAGATTTTAAGGTCTATGTTTAAATTTGAATTTAGATTACAAGTATGTATCTAATGTAGTTTTTTACTTTTCTGTACACAGTAAAGCAGGGCTCTGTTTTGTTGCAGTTCCAGACAAATGTATAACATTAGTCTCAGTTCTTCCAACTCGCGTTGTCTTAATGCATGATCTGTATATTGGTCTAAATTAAAGCCTGTGTTGGCCATAACAGGGACGTATTTTAACTTTAGCTGGTCATGCTTGAAACCCTTTTTGCAAAACCTGTAATTAGGGGCTGGGGTATGGGGAGAAGGGTGAGTAGGAGAGACAGAAAGCATGTTCCCCTATGTTAGAAATTACCTTTTTGGGGAAAAATGCTGCTTGAAGTATAACTGAAGTGCTCATCAATGAAGCAGTTGGACTTGTGGATCCCCAGAGGTCCCTCCCAACTCCTACAGTTCTGCGATTCTGTGAAAATGGGTGAGACTCTATAAACATTCAGTGCATGTTCATAACAATTGCTAAAAATAAGGCTTATTTGGGATGTGAAACTAAAAGCACTGCTTTATTTGTACAAGGAAGCATACTGTTTTTATTGCGATCCTTGGTATTATTTTTTGTGTTGTTTTAAAGGAATTCCCCAGTAGTACTACTTGTCTGCTTTTGGGAGTTGAATTACAACACAAGCTGAGCAAGCAATCAGGAAATATTAATGCCTTTTTCCCTGCTCACTAGATTTATTTCAAAAATAGAAGAAGTGTTGAATGACTGGAAACTTATCGGGATTTCTTCAGGCAAACCTCTGGAAAAGGTCAGTTGGTCAGTTAGAGCTTCCACAGAGTGTTAGAAACTAGCAGTACCCATGGATATGCTTATGCGTGTTCTCCTTTACTTAAATGTGGCAGCTAATGATTTGTGTTAGGAATTTCACTTGTAAAACTGGCTATTGAACAAACAAGTGCTGTGAGGTTACTGGAATTCTGCCAGATAGACAATTTCCTTGATAAATTCCTTATGGGGGCTAGTGCTATGGTTTCTTTTCGTTGCCAGTTTTCCATTTGGGAACATTGTTTTAGCTGCTCTTTATTCTCAACAAGCTTATTTATTTATTTTGTCCTCCCTGGTGCATTTGGCATGCCTCACATACTCATGCATGACTTGTGACTCAGTACATCTCGTAGAGAGCCTTTTTATTTTTTTCTCCAGAAGTCTAATTAGCAGCTTTCTGGTGGTGCTTCAGTCCTGTAAAACATGTGGGAAATTAAGGGATTTATGGCTGTTGTGTTTCCAGAGGAGTTCCGTGACTCTTAATTTTAGAGTACCAAGTATTAGGGATTAAAGCTTATGATATCTAGTGAACTAATTGTCAACCATAGCTGTCAGTGTGTTCCTGTATTTTATGTTTTCTATACTGGACCTCTCATTTTCTAGCAAGAAGACATTTTTTACAAAGAGCGGTTGTCCACGTGACTTCTAGTAGCAGCTATACAATTCTTTACATTCCCTAATAAAGCTGGAGACTTTTGTCCTTGAAATGAAAGCGATTAACATGGATTGTAGCATACAGCTAACTTCAAGTGCTTTGAGAATTATCTTCATAGTAAACGGTGACTAGCTGTAAAATAAAACTACAGGAGGAGAAAAAGATGAACAAATATTAAACTAAATTTATGTGATCAAGTAATAGCTTTGTTTGTTGCTTTTGTTTGTTATTTTCAATCTACAGGGTGTATATACCACAGGAGTGTGGGAGGAGAAATCAGATGAAATTTCATTTGCAGACTTCAAATTCTCAGTTACACATCATTATCTTGTACAAGAACCTGGTGACAGAGATGGGAGAGAAGAAGGTGTAGAAGGTAGCTAACAGTACTCTTTTATGCCTGAAATATGTCACAGATGTTGTAAGGATGACAGAAGACAATTTCACAGTGATTTCATGAGCGTTGATTTGCCTCTGTGTGAAATTTTGGGGGATCTGATGGGTTGGACTTGATATTTCTGATTTTTACTGTGTCTTACAGTGAACAAATTGCTAAAGAAGTAAACTGTTAGTTACATGGATGCTGAAGGTCTTATGTGTCGCTTTTTTTTTTTTTGCAGATGCCCTTCCTCTGCCTATGCAAGACTTGCTCTGCATGAACAATGATTTTCCTCCTAGAGCTCACTGTCTAGTAAGATGGTATGTATGCTGCCTTTCTTCTTTAATACAGAGAAGCATAGCGATAGATTGTTTTTCAGTCTAATTACAGTTTTTACTAACTTCAGTAAGAAACTCAGGACTGGTACACCTGGAAATGCTCATATGACTTCAGTAGTGTTTGAGCATTGTTGAATTAGTGTAGCTATGAGATGATCTACGGTACTGCATAGTTTGCGACACACAGCAAAATAAGAGTCGTATCCTGCTGGTGGCAATTAGATTATTCAGGTTGTAGTATTTCTGACAGTTCTGTGCTTGAGCTGGTTTATTGGAGCACACAATGTTGTCTTTCCCTGCTCTTTCTCTAAGGTACGGCTTGCGTGAGTTTGTGGTTATTGCTCCAGCTGCAAATAACGATGCGGTTCTTAGTGAATCAAAATGTAACCTCCTGCTGAGTTCTGTTTCTATTGCATTGGGCAACACTGGCTGGTAGGTGAAAGCATGAACTTTTTTATATACTCAGGTGAAACTAGCGTACTATTTATGTAGTTCTTTATTTAGGAAGAAGTATTTAGTTGTTAGTGAATTACATTGTGTTTCTTGCATTTGCACCATAATACTGTTACAAAAAGACTTTTTAAATATTTTCCCACAGTAACTATATAAATATTGATTGTATGTTATTTATATTCATTGTTGTGGAAACCTCAAAGGCTTATAAAACTGTTGCATGTTGTTGGGATAACTGGCATATGGAACACAACTTTTGGAAGATTTCTTCTCTGTGTGGTAACTGAATTGCTAGTAATTATTAGTAGCTTTTAATAATTGGACTGAAAGCGAACAGGTCATTGCATCTTTGCATTTGTGTTTCTCATGACAATTTTTAGGCATCCTCTTTAATGATGAAGTTAAGAATATTTTTCTGTGATTCATATGTAGCATTTTGAACTGTGTTCTCCTAAGAGAAATATATTCTAAAAAATACGGTGTTTAAAAGGCTATGAGCTGGCAGAGATAATCCAAAATGTGAATGTTTTACAGTCAGGTGCCGCTGTTTGTGCAAATACATCAGAAATGGCGACGTATGTATGTTGGAGAGTGTCAAGGTCCAGGAGTTCGAACTGACTTTGAAATGGTTCATCTTCGCAAAGTTCCCAGTCAGTATACTCACTTGTCGGGATTACTGGATGTCTTCAAGTCCAAGATTGTAAGTGCATCTGTATATATATATACCTGATACTAAGAATAATTATTCTGTTATCTGGCTGCCATTCATTTGCTTCTGTCTTCTAGCAAATTGTTGTGTAAGGATCAGACTTACTGTCAATACCAACAGAGTGTCTTCCCAGATATTGTTGTTCTGTATCTATTAACAACTCCCTCTTTCAATAAGACAAGCTCTATTTGCTGTTTAAAAGAAGAGGGAAAGGTTGAGGTGCGTGTTTGTTCTGATACTTGTAGCTCCAGCACCCAACCTACTATAAATAGTGAAGAACTGAGAGGTCTGAGTGGACTTCTCTAGAGTGGTATGGCCGACTGCAACACTTTGCTGACTACCGACATTAGTCGTAATCTCATCAAAACACTGAAAAAGTCCTTACTGAAAACCTGTCATATTCTTTGTTAGTTACTTGTATGTTACCAGTTAAATAGAGCTTGTAAATGTTGCATAGGTTTTAGAATGTTTATATGCTTAGTTTTAGCACAAGCGTCTTGTTAAGCAGTGGCTTTACTGGTAATTCTTGGGGGTTTTGCAGTTTTGATGAAATTTGTGGTAGTTTGTATTAGAATCAAGTTCTGTATGAGGATATTTTCGAGGATGTGCACTTAACAGTGAATGTTTTCAAGGGATGCCCTTTAACACCACTGCCTCCAGTTAGCATGGCTATTCGGCTTACGTATGTGCTTCAAGATTGGCAACAGTACTTCTGGCCGCAGCAGCCACCAGGTGGGAATTTTGTGTTCATATAATAGCCTGTCTTAAGATAAATAGTAAATGCTAAAGAAAATGTTTCTGTGTCTTGCCAGAGGAATTAAAGGCTGTGATGAGCTAGCAAGTTCAAAGCTCTGAAGATATGACTGTGGCTTCTGTTTGTGACAGTTGTTTTTTATTAATATTCAGACAAATTGTGATATGTCTAGAACTGTAGTATCTGTTTGGAGAGAAGAGGATAACTGTCCATAGATCTGTAAAGAATTCTGCCCTGAGTTCCATGCAGAAACTGCTGGATAGATGTCTTGATAGATGTTACTACTTCACAAGAGTATTGGTCAGTTATTTCAATAAAAAGATTGATTTTAATGCTTTGCTATTTATTAACAATAGGAGGAGGAGAAAATCTTTTGTGGACCTTGCTTGAGATAAAACTTTGGATTATTTTGTTGTTATTAAGCGAAGGAATTTTTTTATGTAGAAAAAACTGCTGATCAAGCATTTTATAATATTAGCTCTTGTTAAGGGGAGAGGTGGGGAAAAATACCATGTCTTCAATCTGAGGTATACATATGAGGCCTGAAAAGCTTGCACCAGTAATGCTACTTAGAAAAAAACTGTCCTAGATTGCTTACTTAGTATCTCATAGTGAGCTCTTGTGTGCATCCCTGGTGGTCATTCTTGAGTTACAAGGATTTGTTCTTACCAGACCTACTCGTATATAGCATTTGGGTAAATTAATTATCTGTTCTAATACTTTAGTTGTTTTGTCAGTTGATCAGATGCATGTCAGAACATCATTAGCCATTTAAATTATGGTCAGTGAAGCGTATCAGTTTTGTTTTGTCTTTATCGTGTATGACATTGGAAGTGGCTGAGGATGCTGGTAGGCATCTTTGGCTTTTCAGTAGTGAAAGGAATCCTCTAGATCATTGGATTGAATCTTTAACTGCAGGAGACATAGTGTATCATTATTCCTGTAAAATTTTCCCACAGCCTTTTCAAAGTAGTTGGTTTGTCACACTGGAGTGTGAGACTTTTTCAGACTTCCCTTTTTCTGAATGAAACTAATTTCTTGCCCAGATCTTTTTCTGACAAACTTGTGTCTATTTGTTCTTGCGTGAAGTTGAACTCTTTAAGGCTATCTTAATACCTATCATCTGTTCCTATATAAGAGGATTAGCCGTTCCTCAACACAGATGACAAGAGTTTTATTTGTTGTTTTGATTATCCAGTTGCAAGATTACTTCTAGTTTCAATTGAAAACAACTACTTTGGCTATGTGCTAGGATTGCATTTTCATAGCTCTGTACCTTAGCTATTCAGTTATTTTCTGATCAGCCAACACATTGCAGTCTTACTGTGAAAATGACATGATATGCTTTTTCATAACCCCATGAATCCTGTATGGAAAATGTGTTGATTTATGTTCAGATATAGATGCTCTAGTTGGAGGAGAAGTTGGAGGCCTTGAATTTGGGAAGTTGCCGTTTGGTGCCTGTGAGGATCCTATTAGGTAAGATAAAAATTCAAAAACCTGTTTGGTTTTTTTTTGTTTTTTTTTAATAACTTTGCATTGTGGAGGACTTTAAGGTATGTCATTTGAGCTTTGCTGTCCTATACTGACTGTTTGTAGCAGAATGCTTTATTATCCAAGTACAGGCTTTAATAGCAAACAACACAACTTGGCAAGTGATATAATGGTATTAGAATTGCAGCTCATAAATGTTCCATCATAAGCTTACAGAGTACTTAGTTTGTTCCTGAAACTTATGTTGGAACACGTTAACTGGAGAAAACTTTAAAAATCATATGCTTTCATTCAGCATTTGGACTTGATCGCTTCTTTTACTGTCACATTTGTAGCAGACTTTACATGAGAGAGTCTATTAACTGAGTTGTTACAATACTTCTAATGTCGTCTTCCAAATACCCCATCACTACTCTGCAAATCAAAGGATCACTTAATGTATTAGGCAGTATTAAAGCTGTAGGCAAGTTATGTAGGTTTTTCTTTCTGTAATGGGATACCATTACAGAGGATAATGCGCAATCTCTCCTTTTACTGAGAGGAGTGGTGAAAGGGACCTGTGTGCCAGCTACTAGTAAGGCTGAGTGCAGTGCTGGGTGATGTGCTGTTGAATAAGCAAAAGTGAGGAAACTTGTTGGAAATACACACAGTTCTGTGCTTAGCCGCAAAATCCATGTAGGGATTTCAATATAAACAGTCATGTAGGTCAAGATCTTATGTTTGATAGGCGCTTGCATCTTGTTCTGTTTCAGTGAGCTCCATCTAGCCACCACATGGCCTCACCTAACAGAAGGTATAATTGTTGACAATGATGTCTATTCGTAAGTATTTTGTCTAAATTGCAAATATCTGGATGTGTACTCTCCACTTGTTAACTGCTGCATTTAAGTGACATTAGGGCTCTGTAGCTGTTTTTTTGTAGAGTGCTAAGATCTACTGATAGAATGTCTACTCTGGAAAAAAAATTTTTGAAGTGCATTTCTGTGTGAGAAAATGTTGTTATGCTGTGATCTCAACAGAATGTACATCTTGAGGCATACTGCCATGCTAACCTTACAAGTTTTGTGTATTGCATTTTTTCTTGAAATGAGGATAGCAAGATTTAGAATGCAGAAAGCATTAGGAGTTCACTGATTGCCATTCCTTTTTCTGAAGAGGAAGAGCAATGTACACCGGTACATCAGAAAGGAAAAAAAGAATTGTGGTTTACTGTTCTAAGTAATGCAAAAATAATTTTTCAACATCAGTAGACTTCAAAAGATGATTTTACTTAAAATTGAGCTGAGTTGTTCTTTTGATTTTTATTCATGTCATATATGTACGTGAAAACGAACTCTTGCTTACACTTTAGAATGCTTTTCATGTTCCTCTGTATAATTAGGTATACATTATGGCTTCACAACTATGAAATTTTATTTAAGAATTTAGTGCTCATCTCTTGTATACCTGTGGTTATGGAATTAAACTTTTTTTTTCTAGTGATCTAGATCCTATTCAAGCACCACAGTGGTCTGTAAGAGTCAGAAAAGCAGATAATCCTCAGTGTCTATTGGGTAAGACATCACAATTTTTATTGCTTCTAAGCTATTAAGTTTAGAAATTAGAATTGAATGATCGATTCCTCAATGACCTGGTTCCTCACTCCCCTAATTTCTTTGAGCGTACTGTATTTTGGACTTCTTTTTCCAAGAACACATGCTTTGCAAATAGTTTCTAATAGGTTAGTCTATGTCTGTGTGCCATTAACTTCAGTGCTGTTCTTACTTCATCAGGCTCCAGAGAATAAATGTTTACTGTGTATGTTCTGTTCTGCTGTACAATTGCAGCTTGCTTCGGGCGAGGTCTGTGCTGTGGAGTGGTGGCTGATAGGTGTCTAGCAGAGCATTTTCTGATACTTCAGTTATCTGGTTTAAGGATATTTTGTGCTTTGGAACAGATTATTGTTTCATTCAGAAAAGAGAGAAAGTTATCTTTCAAGGATTACTTGATGGTTAGCTTATTGTTCAGGGAGATTTTAATCTAGTTGTTCAGAAACTGTTTCTCTTACAGGTGACTTTCTTAATGAATTCTTCAAGCTTTGTCGTCGGAAGGAGTCAACTGATGAAATACTTGGAAGGTCTGCATTTGAAGAGGATGGGAAAGGTAAAGCTAAAATCTTGTTGACTAATGTTACTTGATTGTTATTATTTCACAAATCTGACCTTTCCTGCCCTCTTCTGACTTCAGATTCAGCAGTATTTTATATTCTTTACTCTCAGGCATTTTCTGGAACACTCCTACAAATTTGGGTAATATTTAATATGAATTCTTAACATGAATTGGCAATTTCAGCTCTTGAAGGCGCAGAGGACAAATTCCAATGTTATATTTTTAATCAGAAAATGAGATTTTACTTTTGACTGCCTATGTAGAAGACTTGGTTTTGAGCAAGCATTAAAAAGATTTATCTGCATTATTTTCTGTATTTTTATACTCACTCCTTTCTGCCTTTTGAAATACTATGTTATGTGCTTTTAAACAGCCAAATAAGAGTGAAATCTGTTTGAGAGTCTCTGATCTCCTTTCCATTTCAAAGGCCTATCTTACTGAGAGAGAAAGAGAAATGTAATGAAGCTAAAACCAAAATTGTTAGACCAACAGGTCAAGCATTATCCCAACAGTGTGGGGATACTGGCATTTTTTTTATGCCCTTGTCTCTTTCTTTCAGTTCTCTTACTTTACATGTTGAATGTATTTTGAAGGAGCTCAGAAACAAAAGAAAATGAGCTAGCTAGTTAGCTTTAAAAAGTGTTAGGCTCTATAGAGTATGTATCACTTACAATCATAGAATCATAGAATGGCCTTGAAAAGGACCACAATGATCATCTAGTATCAACCCCCCTTCTGTGTACAGCGTCACCAACCACCAGATCAGGCTGCCCAGAGCCACATCCATCCTACTTCTAGTGCTTGACATAGTCTCTTCAGCCCTCCCTTATCTCTTGTTTCCTTAAAATGTCTGCCAAAATAAGGTTTTCCAGGCTAATTGTTCACTTAAATTTGTTTTTATGCTTTTTAGCAATATTAATTCATTGATTTTGGAGTTGACCAGCAACAGCTTTGTCTGGAAAATATATTTTGATTTGAGGAGTTTAACAGAAGAATCTAAAACAAAATAGTGCATAGACTGTCTAATCTAGAGCTCCAGCATAACCTTGCATGTTCTATTACCTACAGTTTACTCAATTTGTGTAAATGGGCTCCTCAGCAGGTTTTTTTTTTTTTTTTTGCTGATACTCTGACTGTCATTATCTGCAAGTACGCAGTACTTGCTGTAGGTGGCAGGCATTACCTACAGCCAATCCAGTCTTGTCTTCATTCAGAAAAAATAAATCAAAGGTGGTTGGTCTGTGACTCCTTTGTGACTCCTGCTTCTGCTATATAACTTTGTGGCCAAGAATTTGTATCAAGGATCAAACATTGATAGCATGAGGGTATAGCCTAGGTTAATAGGGTGTTAAAAATCAATGCGAGAAGTATAGATTGATTACAACAGGTAGCCTTTGAGTTGATTTTGATTTTGTTTTTTCTTTTTTTAATTGCATAGAGGTTGCTGATATCACTCATGCTTTGTCGAAGCTCACTGAGCCAGCACCTGTCCCAATTCATAAACTATCTGTCACAAATATGGTTCACAGTGCAAAGAAAAAGATTCGCAAGCACAGAGGTGTAGATGAATCACCTTTGAACAATGAAGTTTTGAACACTATTCTTCTGGTAAGTGAGCAGAATTAATTTAAAGAAAAAAATGCTTCTGATGTCAGTCTTATTATTTGAATTGCATTGATCCACTTCTTGAAACAGCTTAAGTTTAAATGTTATTTCTTCAAGTTCTTATTTCCTGATGCTGTTGACAAACTGGCAGAGGGATATGAAAGCAGGGCTAGCACTTCATCAGGAAGCAATCCTCCTCCAGAGAATGAAGATTACGTAAGTTATACCAACTGATACTTGACAGAGGGAAGACAGGGAGGGATCACAATCTTCAGTGCATGTTAATACAGACTTTGTTGTGGCCTTATGTTTTATAATTGATAAATTTTGGAAAGATGTACAGAACACACAGATTATATGGTTTTGGTGAAAATGCCATTGGTTCTGTATTCCTGCTTTCTTTTATTTCTTATGTAGAATCTCTTCAGTCAGTTTAAATCTGCTCCTTCTGATAGTCTGACGTACAAATTAGCTTTATGTCTTTGTATGATAAACTTCTACCATGGAGGAGTAAAAGGAGTGGCACATCTTTGGCAAGAGTTTGTGTTAGAAATGCGCTACAGATGGGAGAACAACTACCTTATTCCAGGGTAAGATTGATTTATTTAATTGCGAATGCTGTCTGCTGCTTTTATTATCTTTCCTTCCTAAAGTAAGAAAGGAGAGTGAGTAGGGAAAGAATCTGCATGCTCCATTAAACTTGAGGCATCTGAAGGAAGCTCCAGTTAAAGAGCATTCCATTGTTTGGAGGAAAAAGAAGTGTATGCAAATGCTTAGCTTCCAAATTATCAGATTTGGAAGCTAAAAAATGAAGGAGCTGTTATAGAGAGAAATACCTTTGTTTTGTGGTGTAGTTCCACCACTTTTCTAAGGGAGCTGTTCCCAGTTCCTGTTGGTGTAGTTGCCTTTTCAGGCAGATGATGCTGTCTTTGCTATCATTCAAATACAAAACTGACCAGACAATACAGAATCTGTGTGCTTTATACTGCTACTGTTTATTTCTGAGCTTCAAAAATGATCTCTAGGAAGTAAATGTAGTTTAAATTCTGTGCTTGCTCAATCATTACTTGTCTGCTGGGACTATAAAAGAGCTGCATAGTGGAAGAGGTGGGGGTGGGTTCGTTGTGGGTATCTGCCCCTTTTCTGGATTTCAGATGAATTAAGACCATGTGTGTGTGAAAAGTTCAACTTCATAATTGCTAATAGTTACACTTCTACCTTTTGTTAGATTAGCTAATGGCCCTCCGGATCTGAGATGCTGTTTACTGCATCAGAAGCTTCAGGTAAATATCCCAAACTTCAGAATGATTTTTCTCCTAGAGAATCAATCCAAGTCATAACCATTATTATTTAAATATGTTGGCTTTTGTAGATTTAGTTAGGCTTGTATCACATGGCCTGGACCTCTGGCAAAATCTTGGCAAAATCTTTGTTATAGTACCAATTCAATGGGATTAATGTCTTTTGGAATTCTAAGAGATTTTTGTGATTCTTCATGTTTCTCTGTGATGTTTTTTTCTGTAAAAGTAGTAATTGCTAAACACTTTTTTTTCCCCCCCATTTAACTTGTTAGATGTTAAACTGTTGCATTGAAAGAAAGAAAGCAAGAGATGAGGGGAAAAGGGGGAGCATGTCAGATCGTTCACCTGGTGGTTCTTCTGGTGATACTGGAAAAGGAGCAGACCACTCTGGAGATAACCTGAAGGAGACTGATAAAGAAGTTGGAAAGTCTTGGGAATCATGGAGTGACAGTGAAGAGGAATTTTTTGAATGTCTGAGTGACACAGAAGATCTGAAAGGAAATGGACAGGATAATGGAAAAAAAGGAGGAGCAAAAGAAGGCAGCAAAGAGCCTGTAAACCTGAAACCAGAAGGCCGTCTGCATCCTCATGGGAAGCTGACGCTGCTGCATCCAGGAGAACCTCTCTACATTCCCATCACACAGGTTAGGTAGCCAGAACTGAGCCAGACATGCAGTGTGACTCTCATGCAGCACGATTCATTCTCAGGATTGTGAAGTTGCATGTAGTTTGCAAGTTATATATTTGATCCTAAAATAGTGGAATTTCTCTGTCTTAAGAACGGATTTTCAATATTTATAACTTGGTGAAGCTGTTTAAAGTGAAATCTTACATGCTTTTACCAAATTTAATTCAAAATACACTTCTTTCATTTGAAATGAAAACTAAGCTGTCTTGTCTACCTCATACTGTTTTTTTCCTTATTTCCAATTCCTAAGGCATATTCCATTCATTCCCTCCCTATTTTTTTTTCTCTGGTGTGACACGTTTAAGACTCCATGTGTTTGGTCATCTGAGCTGATAGTAACTTCCATCAGATGGACCAGAGTACTGGATCAGTTTTGCTGTTGCTTCTTGTCTTTTAGAGACGCACTGAGAATTATTTCAGAAGGCCATAGTCATCAGCTTAGGAGCTCACTATTTAGAGCAGGTTTCCCCCAGTGAACTGGAAACCTTATCTAACTCTGACTTTCTTGTAGAGGGGTGAAATAGGAAACAGTGGTGTCAGAGGAAGTAATGTGAATTCAGCCATGCATGAATACAGTGGTTTTCATTTGAGAGAAATTTACCTAAGTGATGTTGCTTCGCATGGGTAAAAAGAACAAGCAGAGTGCAGTGAGGCAGAATGTCTTCAGTTAATTATGTGCTGACAGTATCAGTGGCAAAAATTCTGCATTTCTTTACCACAGTGATGTAATCAAAATAATACCAGTCAAACATCAGACTTAATCTGTTGTTTTTTGTATTATGACAATGTTTCTTTCTAGCATTACTTCATTCTCAGGTAGTGTTTGTTTTGCTGGTTAGCATCCTTTTCAAATGCAGTTTCAGGTTAAACAGTTTAAGCCAAAGAAACTTATGGTTATTTCCTTAAAGTACAAATTGAGTACAATGAATTCCTGGTGACAGGGAGCTGTCAGCCACTTCTTCCTTAAAAAGGGCTAAGATGAGGAGAAACTATTTGTGAACTTGCCTTTTTCTGTCTCGCAGGAGCCAGCACCCATGACTGAGGATTTGTTGGAGGAACAGTCCGAGGTTCTGGCAAAACTTGGGACCTCAGCAGAAGGTGCACATCTTCGAGCACGCATGCAGAGTGCCTGCTTGCTCTCAGATATGGAGTCTTTTAAGGTAGTACTACTTGAAAAATTCCATGAGCCTGCTTTTGTCTTAATCAAATTATTATTCTTGCGTGTGTTGAAAAATTTTTAAGGGTTTTATGATGAGTTTTTTTCCTTAGACAGAACAGTTTCAAAATAGTTTAAAGTTGAAATTAAAAGTCCATTAATAAAACTGCTTAAACAGTTCAGGATCTATGGCTATCCAGACTATTGCACTGCAGTTCTGCTGAATTTGTACAGTGTTGGAATTATGTGACTGTCTTCAGATTAAAGAAGAAGAAAAAAACACACATGGCATTTTAGTTCATAAACTGGAAATTAAAAATCAGGATAGCCCTTATAAAAGAGGGAGGATATTTATTTTTAAGTTCCTTTTTGAAGGAAGAAGAGAAGGAACTTCTGTAGTTAAAAGATAGAAGGTCATTGCTGGAAGCATATTCATGCAGCCTACTGTTTCTTTCATTTCTGTCTTACTCGTATAAGCCTATGCATTGTCGCTCTGAACAGCCTGGTTGGCTGCTGACCCTGCCCACAGCAGGGGGTTGAAACTAGGTGATCTTTGAGGTACTTTTTCAACACAGGCCATTCTATGATTCTATGATTAAAACTTCTGAAAAATTAGTATTTCTTGCATTTATGAAGTACCAGGTAGAAGCTTGACTTCACAGTATGACTTTCAGTTTGCCTGCAGTAATGTGTGAATCTCCTGTTTTTTGTGGGGGGGAATAAGAGGAAGGTTTCTTTTTGTTGATGGTGAGGGTTCCACATACGTTCCTCCTCACACCCCACTCCACTGTTTTGTTTTGCATTTGCTTTTTTCCCCTCACCCAGTTCTTTTGCTGTTCATTTTGCTGACCATGAACAAAATTCCTTGAATTTCTTGCTCATAGCCTGTGGTGTGCCCTCAAAACTATACTGCCTTCCTACCCAGTTATTATACTTTTACAGGAGTTTGTGAAGTACAAATTCAATGTCATCTTCATTCCAGGCAGCTAATCCTGGCTGTTGTCTGGAGGATTTTGTGAGGTGGTACTCTCCTCGGGATTACATTGAAGAAGAAGTAGTTGATGAAAAGGGAAATGTGGTAATTAAAGGTGAGCTGAGTGCCCGAATGAAGATCCCTAGCAACATGTGGGTAGAGGCCTGGGAGACGGCAAAACCAGTCCCAGCACGGAGGCAGAAGAGACTCTTTGATGATACTAGAGAAGCAGAGAAGGTAACAATTCTGTGGCTAGTGATAGGTGCTTATCTTTTGAACTTAACCTTAACTTTGAGAAGCAGTTTTCATCATTAATGTATTAATTTTTCTGTTGTTAAAGGTACTTCATTACCTTGCCGTTCAGAAACCAGCTGACCTTGCACGGCACCTCTTGCCTTGCATCATCCATGCTGCCGTACTCAAGGTAAAGGAAGAAGGTAAATAATGTTTAATAAATTATTATGGTATTTTAGGTTGAACACTAATGCAATAATGAGAACTTGTTTGGTTCTTTTCCTCCTAACAGAAGTACTAGAAGATATATCTTCAGTTAAGAAGATTATAAAACAGATAATATCCCATTCCAGTAAAGTTCTACGATTTCCAAGTCCGGAGGACAAGAAGCTAGAAGTAAGACTTCTCTGTTGGTTTGTGCTGGAAACTTGATAGACTTGTTTGTGGGAGTGCTAAGAGTAAATCTTTTTTATTAAACTACAGGAAATTATTGCTCAGATTATGAGTGTGGAAGCTATCATTGCCAGGGCCAGGTCTTTGAAGGCAAAATTTGGAGTAGAGAAATGCGAAAATGAGGAGGAGAAGGAAGATCTCCAAAGGTGACTGATTTTTGTGTTTTTATTTACTTATTTAATTCCCTTGAGTTGTTTTGTTTTTTCCACTGATGCTCTTTTTTTAGTAGTGTCAAAATTTAGGACACATGGAAGTGATGAGAATACAGAAATACTAAAGAGTGATATTTAATGTGGTATATTTAATTGGGTGTCCCTGTCTGTTTGCTACCCAGAGGTGGGCACCTTGTATGCCTGTCTCAGTAACCATGTGTTTAAAGCATTTGGTATGTACTGTTTTGATGGGATTTGTTTTCTGTTGATGGTGCTGGAAGTAACATTTTTTGTGTTAAGTAAAAGGTGATCAACTTCTGTTGCAATTTATGTAAAATCAGAAGGACGAGGAATTTCATATTTTCTATAATTAATATGGAATGAAATGCTGCCCAAAGTTACACTTTCTTATTGTAGTTTCCCTAGTAGTTCTAAATGTCAGTAAGACATAAATAAAAAGTGACAAGGCATGTTTCATTGTTATCAATACCTGCTGTCAGATTTACTTTCTGTTTAAGCTGACTAACATGTAACATACTTTAAAAGAAATAAGTAGTTCTTACTGTTCTAGGTGATGGTTTAATCCCAATGGGTAGCTCAGGACCATCATACTGCTCTCTCCCTCACCTTCTTCAAAAACACAGGAGGAGAAAATATGATGGAAAAAATGTTGTGGCTCAAGATAAGGACAGGGAGATCATTCACCAGTTAGTGTCAAAGCTTCGTGTGAAAGAATGAGCGATAGGGCAGGAGGCAATCACAGAAGGTTAAGGGGTGGAGGGGAAGTGTTACTCTGAAATGTATTTTTTTTTCCTTAATTTTTTGGAACAGAGAATTCAGAGTTAGCCCCTAGTGCTTATTCTGTTAGAGGGAGACCCCTTCATGGGAAGCAATTGCATTTTTAGATTAGAAAACAGAATAAGCAAAAATTCTTTTTTAATCATTTGTACCATCAGATTTGTGAACTGTCTCCTGGAGCAGCCAGAAGTGTCTGTTCTTGGTGCAGGAAGAGGACCTGCTGGCAGCGTTATTCACAAACTGTTTGTGAATGCTCAGAGGGTAAGAGAGTTCTTGACTGCTGCTCTGATGCCTCAAACCATTTAAATGCAATAAGTTAACGTATGATGGCTGTTTATGTTGTCCACATATATCCATGTATTATTATAAATGTGACTGCATTTTTTGGGTGTTTTTTTGTGATGTTCAGTGTGATTTTAGCTACAACAGTATCACACCAAGAGTAGATGACCTGGGATGTGAAACTTGAAAGGAAGTTGAGTAGGTAGAGCTGTCATTAATGTTTGATTTACTTTGAATTATAACAGTAATGCAATTATGGCACAAATTTCTGCTTCAGTGAAGTTGTGTAACATATGCAACAGTAAGAACTGTTGGGTGTGTTGATGGTTTTACATGGAATGCAGAGAAGCATGCCATAATAATAAATACTTTTTAGACTAAGGCTTATATTCAAATACTTTCTGGTATGGAAACTTATGTGCTTAGGAAAAGTGTTAGTTCTCTCAACTCTGTATTTGCTTTATTTACTGCCCGTGTTGTATCTGTCTTCTTGAAATCTTTCCCCATTTTATATTTTTATAAATAACGTCTTTTTCCTTAAGCAGTTTGTTTTAATAACTGGCTTGGTAAGTATTGATTTCCAAAGTTCTTGAACTGCAGTCAGCCTACAGCTTCTCTAAGAATTTCAACTATCTGTAGTATCAAATCTAATTAAAATTTAACTGCAGTGATAATAACAAGGTGGCATAATGTTGCAGACATCTTAAAGCCTGAAACGATGGTTAGAGATCACTGCTGGAAAAAAAAAAAGTGATTTGGAATTAAGTACTTCTGAGGTGTGGATGCCTTAATAATAATCTGTAATATTTTGCAACTCAATGTAAAAAGGACCATTCTGAAAACAGGCCACAGTTATTCCAAAAAATAAAAATCAGAACATTTGTTTTAACCTTAGGAGAACTTTAGTCTGTAGTGAAAGTTGTGTTGCAAATCTCAACATGTAAGAGCCAGCTTAACTTTAAAAGAATTTCTCTTAAATTTTAAGATTATGCCTTGTAAATGTATGCAAGTGTATGCACTTCCTTTTTAAATCATGTATTTTGTTTTAAAAGTTGAATTTCTAATGTTAACAACAAGTAAAAATACATATAATTTCTAGAGTTTAGTTTAGTAGCTTACAGCCACTTCCCACTAGCTGCTGGTCACTGTTAAGACTTCTTAGTGGAATGGGAGTTAACTTGCTACAGGAAAGCATGTTTAATCTACCATTAATTAGTTTGGTAGAGAGTTGTTTGGGAATTAGAAATTGAATGATTTTATTATTCATTACCTTTTGAATCTGGACTCTTCTCTGGGTTGTGTAAAATATCTTCTCAAGTTTTCTCAGGGAAAGTATGATAGCAAGTGCATGCTCTTAGAAGTAGAGTGCATGATGTCTCTTAAACCTACAGTCTCCTTCTAGCCTCTTGTAAGTCATCTCTGACTTGCCTTTGTTTCTATCTTTCATCACTGGTTCTTTTCTCATCCCTTTTCAAGCTGACTGAATCTTCTGATGAGGTAACCAACTTTGTCCCTCATTTCCCACTCATCTTCCTTAGCTGCGTAGAGTTGAAGCTTTTGGTACATAGAGTACAACAGCCTGATGTGGTTGGTACTGTAGTTACTGAGCATAAAAGTAATACTGTGTTTCCAGAATGGTTTTTCCTCATTCGCAGACTTTCTTTTAGAGCCTATCAGGAAGTGACAAATTTAAAATATAAAAATAAAAAGAACAAAAAATGCAAACATTTCTTCAGGTGAATACTAATACTCACTGATGCTGAAATATGTGGCCTTCTTTTTATATTCTTCTCTGTTGCTGTCACTATTTTCTTGCCTATTAAACAGCCAGATGCTTTGGGGGAAGGTAATGATGTGTACTATACTGTACGGATGTCACAGTCCAGCTACTACCAAAACTATTGAGATAGCAAAGCTTATTAAAGCTACTGAAACTTTTGGACAAAAGTATAGAGGTGTTCTGAGAGGGAGAACTAGAGTAACTGAAGAACTATAGCAAAGAGAAAATCCTCTCTGGTTTCCTTGAACTGTTCTTGGAAGTACAAATGCTACTTGTCCCTGATGACTGACCCTGTGTCAAAGGTTGCAGAGCCAGGCAGAACTGGGTTCCTGCTCTTGGGGGCTGGATGGGTGAGAGCTGGAAGCAGAGGGAGTGCATAGGTCATTCTGTGGGTTCTTCTATGATGTTCCTAGTCTTTAGTTAAGGAATTCAATACCCTGTTAGGCTACTAGAGTGTGTGTATGTGTGTCTGTCAAACCATCTGAGGAACAACCAGGAGCAGAAGTATGCCATTCCTTCTGGTATGCAGTTGGAGTGTTGCTGCTTACCGGCAGTGAGTAGAGATGGAGATTGCCAATGTTCTGTTTGCTCTGTGATGTAACCTTAGCAAGCCTCTCTTTGGTCACGGAGAGCACATCGCAGTTACATGTTGAGTTTCAAAGGCAAGTGACCTTTTTGTCAAGGGTCAGTGGTGGCCATACTTACTTCTACAGTGAGGGTGGCTTGACCACACGTGTAGCAGCGAAGAGCTGAGGCTAGTTTCCTGACTGAGAAAGGGTAGTATTGTATGTTGAAAACCTTATTTCATGCTTTTCAAAACGCCAAGGAGCTTAATCTGGGCTGAGCATTACCATCCACATACAAAGGTTCTTCCATTTGATTGTGTGCAGTTTATTTCTTGACATCCCATTAGTGTCTTGCTCTGTGTATATGTAAAGCCTTCTGATATTTACCATTGCCGATCTTCCAAATTCTTCTCTGAATTCTGGTTGTAAGGAACAGCCTGCCCTGTAATTAATGTCTGTTTTTATTTAAGATTTCTGCAGTGCCTCCACTTGATGAAGAACTGAGGAGATCAGGGTCAGCAGAGGAGCGAAGACTCAACACGGGCTCCATGTCAGATTTCCCACCACCCACAGGCCGGGAGATCATTCTGCGCACAACTGTCCCCCGTCCTGCACCTTACTCTAAACCATTGCCCCAGCGGATGTACAGTGTGCTTACAAAAGAAGATTTTCGACTTGCAGGTGCCTTTTCAGCAGATACAACTTTCTTCTGATGTAACTGTAGCTGTGTTACCTTGTGCATCTTCACAAGTAGAATGTTATTCATTTTCCTTCAGGGAAGTTAACGCTTACAGATCTACCAGCTTGTGGTGAGGAGAAAATAAGGTTGTCATTAGTGACAGGGAGTGATATTCCCAAGGACAGACCTCAGCTGGGGTTTGAGAAGAATGACTCCAAGTGCTCCATCTTGGAGGTTTGGAGAGGTTGCAGCAGTAGTTTTGCTCGTCTTTGGGGAAGAAAGGTTAGTCATCCCCCTCTGTCCAAATGGAGCACATGTTTTTGCATTAGCTTGTTTAATTATGGATGTTAATGGGCTATAGTCAAATACTTAATGTTCAAGTTTATGCAGACTGTGCTGCTTTTTAGTTCTTAATCAGACTCGATAAAGTGATGTTAGCCTACTTAAATTGATGTGCAGACATTAATTTGTATTTATTGCTAATCACAAATATTGAGCTCAGTATTTTTTCGGTTAATCTATAAGTTGCAAATACTTCTAAAATACCCTTCATTTTATTTAAACAACACATTCTAGTTCATGCCTAACTCTCCTAGCCTTGCAACAGTCATCTGAAAAAAGATCTTGTCTTTGGGATAAGAGCTACTATAATCCTATTTAAGCCTAACTCAGTTTTAGATGCTTTTTATCCTTCCCTGCATGCAACGGCCAAAGCTGTATGTAAATTATATGTACAGAGGTTTTAAACCAAAGTGAAGCTTACAGTAGAGACCATTTAAATGCATACTGTCTTTGATCTGATAAACTAACCCCATTGAGTATCATGCAAACACTATGACTTGTATGTGCCAATGTTGTTCTACAGTGATCTTACTGTGTTTTAATCAGAATCAGCAGATCAGAGTTACAAAATTAAATGTAAAAACTATGGTATTGTTGACATTACTCAATAAATTTAAACTTACTGGTTCTCAGAACTTTTCAGGTTGGAGTGGTTTTTATCAAAATACTACTTAAATGTCATACTTTCATAGCTTGATAAAGGAACAGTCTTTCTTGTGACTATATCATGTTTAAAAAAAAAAAAATTAAGTTCTATCTATCTCAAATGCTTCTCTCTGATAAATATGCATCAAGTAAAAATATGTTAAGGATGTTAACTTTTTTTAGAGGAAATCTTGCCCTAGGACTTTGTCCCACAGGCTTTTTATGTTTTATATGAGGCAAATGCTTTTGTTAAATAGAAGAAAGACAAAGGGCAATTCAGCTGTTGCTTAACTGTCTAACTTTGTAAGTAATTAGTTGCACTAGACTAATTACTAAGTAAGTTTAAGATTACTTACCACTTCCTGGTATTCTTGCTTTCCTCCTCTCCTGCTATGCTTTCTCAGTGATTTTTATCTGACAAATGCAGCCTCCTGTATAGGTTGAATAAGCTTGAAAACCCTTCATTTAGCTGGCAATCAGGCTTTTACTGGTGCTTGGTCTTTCAACTGCATGACTGGCTGCTTTGCTTTGGCATGCTCAGAGAACATGAGTGCTGTAACATTTTGTCAGCTGCTTAAAGGCGTTTGAGTCTGCTGGAAAAGTCCAGTAGTTTATAGAAGACAGTATATTTGCAACAGTACCATCTTAATCTTTACCTGAGAAAAGCTATGTGTAAAACATTAAGAATTTTCTCATAAGGGTAACTGATGAAAGCATTTCAGTGTATTTTAACTAAATATGCCTGGAATTGTAGAGAACACAGTATTTTTAGAAAAAATGATCTGTAGTGTGCTGATAACATAAAAGAAGCAGGGGAAAGGCACTAAAGCATTAAGATGATGCTGATTTATTTGAAGTAACTGTAAAGAAAGCCACTTAAACAGTGCAAAATAACCATTAGCTCTGCAATTTAGTTAAAGAGAATATGGCTCTAGCATTTCCCAGAAGTTACTTTGGATGAGACAAGGAAAATGAATATTATTTCTCGTGGGCTAGCTGTTTTAAACAGTTATTTTAATAAACATGAACTGAAAGTGCTGAGATCTTTTACACCAAGTCAAATGAACTAGCAGGCCTTTCATAGCCTGTTCCCAGGCTGCTACTAATTTATATATGTAGTTATGAGACAGTTTTAGACAAAACACATTACCTGCCTTGTTGCAGTCATAATAGAGAGCAGAATCTGTATTTTCTCCAGTACCTTTGATTGAGTGAACAAAGGGAATAATTTTAACTAAGATAGCTCCCTGGTCCTTAATACCCCACTACAGCTGAACACTGTAAGACTAACATGAATTTCAGCAGCACTTCCTCCAATTCTTACAGTTGTAAATGAACTAATATGAAAATTGTAGTACTTCAAAACTGCACTAAGGTTATACATAGAAATTCAGCTTTAAACTGCAGGGCCATAAAAACGTAACCATGATTAAGTTCCTTGCATGCATTCATCCAAGGCCCTCTGAAAAATCAGTATTTTGAATGATTTCATGTTTTGCTCGCACATTTTCTCTACCAGCATACAAGACTATTTTTTCAAAGTGCATGAGGAAAACTATGTGACTATAGTAATTCCTGAGTTATAATGTAACTGATTATACTTATTATTTTACTTCTTCACAAAAAACTTTGTGATATCACAACCGTACTTTGTAGCTAAAGAGTGTCTCTTCATCTGACTTCTTTCCTTGGCCTGTTTTGCAGTTCTCTGGAAAAGAGAAAGGTAGGCATGGTCAGAAAATAGACTTACATGACAACTAGCTGGAAAGCATTAGGCTATAGCTTTAGATTTCAGTCTAATTTTGCAGCAGATGACAAATGAAATGCAAGCGTTTATTAAGGTGACATTTTTCCATTTGTGAGTAAACTGTTTAATGCTGCCTTTCATATTCACTGGTGCCTTCCTGCAAGGAAAAGAGTAGTGCCATGCCAAGGCAGCATAGAGAAGCTCGTATTAGTTGAGTACAGACTAAATGAGCAACATCAGATATTTCTTACTAAAGGTTTTTTGTTATTTTCTACTAGTTGCTTCTTTCCACATGCATAGTACCTTGAGCATTGTCTATTACTTATAAGGTATACAGACTAATAACAGATTTTTACTGTATATATAAGCACAATCTCAGTTACCTATAAATCAGTTTTAGTTTCTTCTGTCAGTGAAAACCTGTATTTTTCTACAAGTTACATTCCCAGTACCAGGATGTGCCAATGAGGAGAGAAGCTGTTTTCAGCTGCCAGAGGGTGATATTTCTGACTGTACCACACTGACCTCTCTGTGGCAGACTGTACACAGAGTCTGAAGGTTTTCCAAGGAACACTGTCCTCCTCCACTGTAAACAGGCCTGATATGATCCACCTGCCAGAACTGACCTTCTGTTGGGTTTGTTATAATTTCATTCAACTGCAATAAAAGGGCAAGACAATGGAAACCTTAGATATTCCTCCTGAGCTACATCTTCGTTCTACAGACAGAACAATAAAACTGAGCAAAGTAGCTATTTATATTATTTGTACTACTAATATGTTTATAATCAGAGAAAGTATTAGCATTTGTTTGTTATTCCCAGTGGACAAGCAAACAACCATAATTTTAATTGGCATAGCTCTACCTGGTCTGCATCATGCAACAGTGGATCAAAGTAAAGCAGAAGGAAAGGTTATTTTCTTGATTAGTAAATTTGTCTTCAGTGTCATTTTATCAAGTGCTGCAGTTCACTTAGAAGGTTGTAAGATACCCATTATGCAAGACTCAGCCTCATCTTTTAGATTTGCGTTGACTTATTTTTAAAAGCCACAAGAAACAAAGGTGATCTCATGCATACAACCAATGGAGAAAGTACTGGCCAGTGATCTTTTCTTTTGCAAGTTCAAGTGTGTCTTCAGAATTTATAATAAAAGTATAGAACCAGCAACTTCTGAAGTAGAATTTCAACTTCACAATAGGACAGAAATATGGTATTTTTATCTTAGAACTAAAATACTGCTTTGTATATGGATATTTTCCCTTCCTGTTCCATTGCCTTTGAGTCCTCAAAAAAGCAATTAATCTGGGAAGCATGGGAGCAATTCTTAATATGTTCTGAGGTTATGGTGAGGGAAGCTGTGACAGCTGGCTTTTGTTAAGCTACTAGCAAACATCCTGTGAAGTAGCAATAACCTGGTACTATTTACTACTACTATTCATTCCTCAATTCTGTTTCATAACCACATTTCAATTAAAATCAGCTGCAGTATTTACATCCCTAAGAATCAGAGTTCTGATGCCTGTTCCATTTAGAGATCAAAAACATATTTATGTCTTGGATGACATATGAAGACAAGGATTTTGTTGTTTATTTTCTTTTTCACGGTCTTCTATCTTATGCCTGCAAGTACACCATTTTTTATTTCTCTAAACTACTTCCTACAGCTACTACGGGAATACACAGATCAGCAGAAAGCACTCAAAAACAGTGCTATTACCTGCCCAACTGGAAGATGAGACATCCATGAGCTCTCCAGAAGTTTCTTACGCTGAGTCTTAGGTGCATCTCTGATGTTAAGATAGAGCTCTTGAGCATTCTGATGACAAAACTGGCAAACACCATGTTCAATTTCAAATACCTTAGTCCTGAGGTAGCCCTGACTAGAACGAACTGAGAATTCCTCCTGGCAGGCAAGAGAGCAGAACCGTGTGTCCCAGGCATGGGTCTGGCAGCTTTGGTCAAGCTGAGCTGTTGGCTGCTGGCAGCGGAGACAAAGTGGGTTTCCTTCACCATCCAGGGCTTGCAAATAGCCTTTGGGTAGGGAGGAATTTTGAACATCAGTCCAATTGGAGGGAAGAATAGAAGGACTTTTTCCACTCTCCAAAAACAACCTGTTCACAGAGATTAAAGTACAACTAGTAATAAAACAGGTACTCAACACTACAATTTTTGCTTTACACATTGTATATTTCCATTAGATATCTTTCATGCTCTAGAATACAATTTTAATCAAAAGATCATCTCAGTCAGGTTAGTATCTGCATTGTGCAATCATCTACTTGGTTTATGTTTCAATTTAAACAATATATGACAATACAAAAGAGATTTTTCCTTTGCACATCTTACTACATTTACACATGCACATTGAATTTCTAAACTAAAATAATGCTGCGTTTATAAGTGCTAGTTTGTATCAGGTATGTACATATACTCTCAGACAAATGTTTCAATCCCTTTTGTAATGGAAGCAAAACATCAGAGGAAAACATCCTGCCTTCTCTCTGCAACTTTCAGAACTTCTTAACAATTTCCTACTCTAAATAAGGTTTGCTTCCAGCCAAGAACTATTTGTCTGATAAAAAAGGGCATTTTCTGACCAAAATTTTCTACCCTATTCTAAACTATATCAGAATGGAAGAAAATTTGCTTTCCTATTAGAAATTGACTTCATAAGTAAGCTCAAGTTAACGTTGTTGCTTCCTTAACCAAGTTGTGTAACCTTTCTTGTTTCATCGTGTCACTCTATTAACTAGTAGCTATATCATCACACAACAGATACCATCTAAACTGTTAATAGCTCATTAGCTGTTTCAGCAAGTTTCTTTCCTATAACTTACCTGTTACTATGGCTCAACAAGGTAAACATAACTTTGCTATCTTAAAAAAAAAGTCTATGGAGAAACAGCTTCATCGCTTTGGTTTTTTTTGCATTAAACTTAACTTACTTTGTGGAATGACCTGGTTGTGCCATAGAAGCATTTTCATTCCTCAGACAAGCTCTACTTTCTTTAGTGATGAGGCGCACGCTGCCCCCACTGCTGCTCACTTTGCTAAGTGAGGCTGCTGCTACATCCTCCTTGGTCACATACCTAAAAAAACCCAACAGTTTGACAAATGTCACCCACAGTGGACAGAATTATTTAAAGAAAAAAATGAGTATGAAAAAGTGTTGAAGTAAGCTATGAATTATGAATATGAGATTGTAGCCCTGATGGCAACTAATGATTTATTCCTGCTTCCAGGTAGGAAATACAGTGAGATCTTTTTTAGTTTGCTTTTCTTTTGAGACCCTAAATGTAATGATTTTTCCTCAAAAATCTCTGGTGAGCTCCAGCTGCTTAAATACACAAAGCAGAAAGCCAGAATAGCTGCTGAATGTGACAGTGATGGACAGGGAAGCAGATACTTCCATTCCAGCACATTTACTTATGTGCTCAGTTGCATACGTTTGTCACTGAGACAGTCACTGAATTACCCATTTGTAGCCTTTGGCTTAATTCTACTGAAAGTTACATTAAATACATCAAAACTTCCTGCAGAAATTAATAAGGGAAAGAAAAATAAAAACACATACCTTTTTGTACTGCTTGCTGCTGACTGCTTTTTAGACATCTCCTCTGCAGCATGAATAGGACTACAAAACAGCTGACCACTTTTTCTGACAATTTTCTGTTTCATTGCTGTTAGATGACTCCATTCTTTCACAAACCGCAGAATCTGGGGGAGAATGCTATTGTTAGCAGCATGACATTAAACAAATAATTACATTGAAAGCATGCTAAGAATTAATATATTCAAAACCAGATGGGAAAAAAGCTGGTATGATCAGAGATGGTCCCTTCAAGTCAACCCTTGTGCAAGCTGCAGCCTCCCATCCTCTCCTGCTGAAGAACTTAAGACTGCTTTGGCATTTCTACAATTACAGTTTTGCTATGACATATAGGTGTGCTGCTGCACAAGGTAGAAAATAAAGCCACAAATGGACTTCATTAATCTAATGTATAATGACTAGGAGAATGGCTTCCTGATAAAGTCTCAGATGAACCTTTCTTTTGTAAGCAAGACTTCGTTCATGGAAAAAACAGATGGGTAAAAGTCTTCTACTTAGAGTAGCCCTCTCTCTTTTGCTCTAAGCTTTCAGAAAAGCAAAGTTTATGAGAGAAAATAACATTCATATGTAGAAATTTAGAATTTATAATGTGGCCTTCTTTAGAATATGCGTAAGAGAAAAACGGTTTCATCCCACCTTCATCTTTACAACAGAAAACAAATGAGTAGCAATACGTCCAACAATACCAACAGTACAAAACAGTGGCCAATATGAAAGTTTTGCTCCATTTGTTTTTCCCCACTCCATTCCTTGCTGACTTGCTACAATCCACAGTAGCTAGTATCACAGTGTTTCTGAGCATGGACTATGGTAACAATAAATACATTGTGCAGTATGGACAGCATCATCCAGGAACATGCTTCCAAGACTATGAGGTGGCAATGATCTTCTCCTTGAAGTATTTTTTCATGACAAACATGGAAGAGCACGGACCAGTCTTACTTTCTGAGTCAGAACAGCAAGAAAGAAGTCAGCAAAACTGCAGGATATAAAGACACATGGGAGCATTTACTAACACAGATATTTTAATCTGCAAGAGAAAGTGGAGGGACAGAGATAAAGTTCCATAAGCAGTGTCATCTCCTGCCCAGAAACATGCCATTCTTAATGTGTCTTCTCAGTCTACTACGTAGCTCTGAAATTCTTTGGCAACATCTCTGCCACTCGTCAGGTGATTCAGATAACTGTTGACTGAATCAGCAAGGAATGTGACCTACAAATTTAAGTTCCAGCCTTATTGGAGAATCTACTAAAAAGAACCAGTCTTGTTCCTGCATGATAAAATCTGATTTTCCAAATTATACATCTCTTTAAACAGGTGAAATGTATTTCTTGACTGTTTCCAACAGATAACATTGCAAATACAATTTAAATTCTGGATTTCATTACTGTGAGTACTTGATTTGACAATGTTCACGTCTTACAACACTAATACAAATGTGATTGTTACTGCTTAAGTAACTGAAACTGTGTATCTCAGTGGAGTTGTGCCCTACACTGTTTTGAATGTTGTTGGAAGGCTAAAGGACAAAATGAGAATCAAGGCCTGCTCATATAACTGCAGCTCTGATTCCATCCAGCACATTCTTATTCATCATGCAGCACACAATTTACAACCTTTAAAATGCTATTTTGTTGACTTACGAATGCTAGTTACTAATCCTGTAAATGAGAAATTAAATGATGCCTGGTTGATTACATCTATAAAAACGTTAACAGCAGGTATGATAATTTGCCAGAAAACAGTCTGCATCAACATTTACAGTATCTGCTTGCACTGATGAAACTGTGCCTAGGTCCCAAGCCCTGGAAGTGTTCTGCATCTATTTAAAAAAAAAAAAAAAAGCCAAAATACTCCACATTAAATACTGTATTACCGTGCCAGTTGAATTTATACTTACCATTGACCGATTTTGTTTATGTTGGAAATTCTCTGGTAAATCCTCCCAGTTATCCAGCTGTATGTCCAATGGAATGAAATTCAGATTCAGTGGTTCACCATCCTACACAAAGGAACAGTTTAGTTTACAGACAGAACGCACTACAATCTAGAAAAAAGAAAAAAGATCTGTTTCAAGTGGATTATCCTCCTCTTCCAACCAAGTTTATCCCCTCAAGCTTAAGATTTTTCTAGGAATGATTTCTCATGAAAAAATGACCTAAAAAATTAATAATTGCTTGTTTCTCTCTTTCCATTACCATTACAGATTAATGATAATGTGTTTCATTCAAGAATTTTCTGATCTGTACACAGCACCAATGTGCACCTTTCTGAAAATGTGGTGGCAATATTTTATTTACCTATTTAGCCTGGAAAGATTCATTGATTACTGCAACTCTAAAAATATTTTGGAATAGCACACTAGCTACAGACAGGAGAATAATTAGTTGTGCTAGTGATTCAAGGTAGTGGTAAGATCTATAAAAGAAAAGGAATCAAATATTGTTAGCATTTTCAACAGACAATCTGAGCATAAATGTAATATTCTAGCACCTCTGTGTAAACTAAGAGAAGTGTTAGAAGCTGTATATCTGGGGAATTACTACTTCTCCAACAAGAACTAGAATGATAAACTACCTAATTTCAATAATATGAAAATAGGGATTTTACATAAAGCATGACAAAAGAAACTATACATGCCTATTTTGTAGGACAACACTCTACTTTGTACTTTTGAAGTGATAATAAGCAGGCCTATATTTCAGCTTTACCTTTGTATAGAGGTGAATTCTATCAGTATTCCTGCTTGCACAGAACATTAGCCCATCGTATACTAGAAATGCATCTGATTCATCTAAATATCCAATACAGAGAAACAAGGTTAAAGAGGTTTTCTTCATTTAATCTATTCAGATATTAAAAATAACCACACCTGTTATGTGTGAAATTTCCTGATTTCATGTGCCTAAAACATATTTTTGTATAAACTCTATATCTTTATTTTTCACCCTTCCCACCCCCTCCAAATTTTCAGGAATCACTGTACAAACTCCAAGAGAATATATTGCACACTAGGATTCTATATTTAATTCCAGAACTTCGTAAGATGCACATAATGCAAGCAACAAACTATTAAGATATGTGTTCTCCTGAATTTTTTAGGAGACAATCTTGTTTCTCCTGAATTGCCCATTATTTCCTTTTCCCGTGGCTATCCTGATCACAAATCAATGCCATCATAAATTTTAATAAGACTGTACGTTGTAGCTTAGTTTTCACAGCTACTAGTTTGACATAATTGCTTTGTCAACCAAAACCTCTCTATTTCCTCAGGCTTTGTATGAAGAGTGCTTTAGATATCAAAATTCAATAAACATCCCAGGTTAAAACAAGAAAATCACATGCTAGTCTATCTTTCATATTTTAAAGTTCCTTTCATGCCAGAGGCAGTAAATACAATTTCACAGACAGGATATGGTCACCTTTTTTTCCCCATAGGAGACCCCTATTACCTTCTCCACACCTTCTTTCATTTTCTGTACTTTTGATTTTGACAGCTTCTTGTTCACTGATTTCAGACTGCTCGGTCACCAATTCCTCCAAATCTTTTCTTCCATCTTCAGCATCCCATGCTGCTCTCTGTTCACCTCTTCTGGAGTCTTTTGACACGTCTTCTTCAGTCTGGCTAGTAGGAACTTCACAGTTTCTCTCACCTATAGAGAGAGAAATGTGATCATTTATACTCTCCTTATAAACTGAGAGCTAATCAATAAATGGATGGACAAACACAAGTAACTGAAATACTGAGGCATTGCATTTTATCCTCGAATAATATCATGGTTCAACCACCTATGAAAACAGCGCTAACTTTGATATTAGGAGAATAAACACATGGACCATAGTGTTCTACTTATGCAATTTTATGCAGCCACCTTTAAGTCAAAATACATGCAGTCAAACGGTCAGCTATTATTTACTACATACATTTACCAAACACCATAAACACATTAAATAGTTTTCCAGCATTTATACATACTTAAGAAATTGAGAAGTTGTCCTTACTTAATCAAAAAAAGATTTTAAAAGAAAAAAAAAGAATCTTATTATTTTCCTTCTAATGTAAAAGCTTAACATGGAGAGAGATTTATAAAAATATTTACTAAGTTTCCAACCAGCTGGAATAAATTTCCTAGAAAATATTTATTCTGACCCATATGAATGAGAAGTGCTATATTTTTAAGGCAATGTCTGCCATGACAACTACACAACAGAGAGGTTAATAAAACCATCTATGTGACATCATTTAGTCTTGACATGTAGAGAAAAGCTTTTCAATTTAATTGGATTCAGAATAACCATAAGCCTTCACAAAGAAACCAAGAGCTACATTTGTTGTAAAGAAAATTAAATTTATATTCTTACTCACCATTTTTATATCCTGTTAACATTCATCTCTATTCCCTATTTGTTTCAAACTAGAATCATACAAAAGATCCTCAGGAAAAGTTAAATTAAGAAAGATCACCTAAAAGGTATCTATCTATCTATTCATAGAAAGATATTATTCTTCATGTTTTGCTTGTATATGTGCACACTCATGTTTAAAAATATTTATTTTCTGAAACTAATCACAGCTGGAATGAAAAACGCATGCTTTCTCTGCAGCACTTACCGTTATTGCTCTGAGGGCAATTACACATTTCACAGTAAGGAAGCAATTCATTATTACTGTAAGTGCAAACACTACAGTGCCAAACTTTATTTAAAGATGTGCCTTTGCTTGAAGTATTTGAGCCGCAAGGAAGGACTTTGTTGTTCTTCTCTGTGAAGAAAGTGGACATTTTTCCAGTCAAAGTCTTTTTCTTACTGGAGCTGACTGGAGTAGATCCACTTATGTTTCTCGCTCTTTTAGCTTCATGTTCACAGATACTTTCATGACAAGTTGTATCCACGTCACTTATTTTTTTGAAATCCAGATCTTCACTGCTCTTCTCTGAATCTTCTTTTTTCATGGCGTCAAAAGACTCTGCATCAACCTTAAATGATTCACTATCTGGAAATATTTTGCGTTTCTTTCCAGAGGAGGACTTTGGGGAAAAGAAGGAACGTATGTCATGCTGTCTTTCCTTCTCGAACTAGGAAAGTGGAAAGAAATACATAAAGCCATCTTTATAATCACTGCATTAGGATTGGTTAAATTTTTCTCCCCATTAGCAGTGCTAGGGAAGCTAGTTTAGAGATGAAAACAAAAGATATTTTCCTTTAAGCAGAAACAGCATAAAGAGCAATTCAACGTTGTTGTGTCCTAAAAATTATTTTCAGTATTCTTATCAAAATTCTGCAATAGCACTAATTAAAGCAAATACACAGAACAGGTATGTTATGTATGTTTTTTGATGAAGCCTACTACAAGGAAAGACTTAAACAATGTTTACAAAATAACTGTGCTGAATTTAAACAGCTATTAAGAAAGCCATATTTTAAACAGAAATTACATTTTCTTATGAGATTCTGAGGGTGAGTCAATCACCCAAAAAACAATTAAAGCAACTATTTAAAACCTGTACATTAATTTATGCCCAACAGATCAGTTTGTCCAGACTAACTTTCTGAACTTGAACTTATGTTTTTCCTACTCATATAGTGTTTCTCCAATAGTGAAGTCTGCAGTGCACACGAAACCTAGGTGAAAAAAGGTTAGATTTTTTTAAAAAATGAAATAATAATTAAAAACATAAGTTTTGAGTCTTACATGTGTAAACAGAAGTTCATTTTGGAGATCTTCCATATTGTCATTAGGGGTCCAAGCTTCAGCAAAACTCAAAAAATCCCATTTCTCCTTATCACCTTCTTCAGCCTGCATTCTCTCTTTTTTGCCATTCAAGGTGCTGCCTGTAACCTTGGCCTGCAAAAGGACTTGCATAAAGGCTCTGAAGAATTTTCAGGTAGGAACAAGTTTATCTGTCTAAATACACTAAATTTGTTACAACTGCTGAACTAAGTTTGCAAGAGAGAAATGAGAATATCTGCAGTAATTCAAAATAACGTTAGTGATGAAAACTATTCTTCCAGCTGCCCTAATGGAAACCATTTCTGCACAAGTACTATATATATGAAAAGGTATATGTAAAATACCAATATTTATTGAAGTTAAGAGATTATTTACATTGTGTACATATCTTTCTCAATAGTCTTTAGACATTCTGCTTAGTAAATGAAGCCAAAGGCAAAATGAACAAAAAGCAGGAATTTAATGATTAAACTCTTAACCAGACAATCTTAGATCCATAGATTTGTCTTATACTAGAATGTTATTTGCTAGTTGTGCTTAAGTCGTATCTAAAACATAGAGAGTTCCCAATTATTTGATTCTATTCCACACGCACCTTGCGATTCAGCATTGCCCACATAAGAGGATCCAACGTTCCTTTTGCTATAAGGAAGTGAATATTCACAGAACTGCACTGTCCAATGCGGTGTGCTCTGTCTTCTGCTTGCTTAATATGGCCTGGATCCCAATATAGTTCAGCAAACACAACGTGAGTAGCAGCAGTGAAAGTTAAACCCTAAATAAAAGTAGATCAATTTAGAAAAAAGATTCTTCCCATAAGTCCACACACTGCACAGAACATTTTTAAATGTGAGAGGGACCACATGGACACAAAAATCAGCCTTCTATACTCATTCCAGGTAGATATTAGTCAGATTCAGAAAACACTGCAATATTGTGCAAAGACTGCATACAGCACTTCATTATGGAACTAAATTTTGTTTTTCATTAATCTGGTACCTCCAGACAGAAGGTGCAGGTTGTTTTTACTAATTATTCAAGCTACTGCTTATGTTGATTTTGCTCATGTAATTTCAACAGAGGCTTAAAACAGTTAACGTGACTAGTGCAAAAAATGAATACATAATTCTGCAAAAGATGTATTACATGAATTGCCTTCAGTAAACAACTTTAATAACTTCCATTTCTATTCTTTAGATTTCTTACTTTTTTTTTTTCTTTTTTTCTTTTTTTTTTTAAATCATACCTGACCAGCTGCCTGAATACTCAAAATAGCAACTCGGGTATCAGGATCCTTCTGAAACTGATTAACAAGATGTATTCTTTCTGCAGAAGGAACACTTCCATCTATCCGTATGTAGCGAACCTATAACAGATTTTAATACACAAATGAAACAATCCATTTCATCCATCATTTGGATCCAATCAGCTTCTTTCCCCAGTACTAAAATATCTGCTCTATTCCAGTCATGGGGATGATAGTACCTCAGTAGTATTTTACTCTTTGATCTACAATTAAGCCTATTTATCAAAAAGATTGTAGACTTAGTACTACCTATTTACAAAAGACAACAATAATGAACATAGGCTCTTAAAATTGAGTATTCTGCACAAGAATCTGCAATTTCCCAGATAAGATTTATTAAGATTGCAAGCACTTGCAAACAAATAGCTTAATATTAAATAATGATGTTAGCCATTTTTCCCTAGCAATGGTCGAGTCCACAACCAATAACATGGAAGTGATCTGCTGTGAATTAAGCATTCAAGTAAGATGACAATATTTTGGAAAAAAGAGCAAAACACCAACCCAATGAACACCAACAAACCACCTCCAAAAGGAGACAGAAGTATATTGATAAAAAACCTTGGGAAACAACTGCCTACCACACTGATTCACTGATGAAGTATCATACCAAATATCCCCATATACAAAACAGTTCTTCAAAATTCCACAATCTTTTCAGTACAGCACTGACCTTTATTTACCTAAAGACCTTAAATTCCTCCACATACAGATAGTTCTACTCAATTTAAGCACAGCTGTCACGTATTTGCAAAGTCTGAAATTAAACGAGTGCACATTTGTTAAATAATTACCTTATTTTCTATCACTGCCTCTGCACAAGCTTGAAGCATGCTTAAGTGGTGAGCAAAAACTAGAAACTTCAGTTTGTCATTTTCAAGCATCATTCTGATATAGTCCTTTACTGCTCCTGCCTGGAATAATAGAGTATGTTTTCATCAGTTAGATGTACAAAATGTTCAAAATGACAGTTTTCACTTCAGTGCCTAAACCATTCTGTTGGTTATCCATTTAAGACTTTATCAGACACTAATGTTAATTTAACAATTATAATTCTGTTTAAAAAAGTAACACAACTTTACGTCTCATTCTCAAAAGATCACAAAGTAAGATGGCATTTCTTTCAGATTAAGATGAAAATAAAAATGCTTTCAGTTATGACATCATTATCTGATGTCTGAAATCACAGTACAGAAAGCATTTAATTTCTGACCAAACACATTTTAATCAGATAAGATATTGTTTAATCAGAACTTCTGTACCTGCAATAGAAAGTCATTCATCAAATCATGTAGAATATGATACTATAATAATAACATAATAATTGCCCTATTTAAATACTCACATAATTGTTGTGTTAAATATTAATAGTGTTCATCAAATACTATGAAAATAAAGTAACAGCTACTAATAAAATTTATCATTGATCAGTTGATAATGCGATACTGTTAATGCAGCAGCCCTCAGAATTTTTTTTTCCCTCTTTCATTTGAAAATGAGCTGACAGTGACAGAGAATAAAAAAGTTGGGAAAAGGTAGCGACAGAAACACAGTGGTATTTTTAAGATGAGTAGAAAATTTAAGATAAACTCCAAGGATTCAGATTCTTAAATCTTACTAAGCCAGAAGCCTGCAGATTTTTTTTTTAAATATACTTTTCTAAATATAGATTAGTGTAAAGAAATGTGATAACAGGCTAAAAAGTAACCATGTAAAAGATCTGTTAATTCTCACACATTAATTAAAAGAGGAAAATACAGAACAGGTGTTCCCACATGATAAAATAGAGAGACCAGTTAGAGAGAATTATTATTCTTCATATATCCATGGGGAGAACCAGTACTGACAGAGCACAATCTGCATAAGGGCTGCATCAGCAGCATCCTGTAATGCAAGCCAACTGGGTCAGTCAGCTGCAGCAGCTGCCTACACACAGTTACATTCCTGGAGCATTCACCTGCAGTGTATTCCTAAGTCTAAGAGACGCCAATACAACTAATTTTATTAACAGAAAACACGTTGAAAGATTAAAATATATATTAATACTTCTAGCCACTTACCTTGGCTATTGCAGTTTCTTTATACATACGTGTGATTAGACTCATGACTTCAACAAAATGGCTGTCAGTGGGCTCTGAATTCAACTTTCTCATTAATTTCTCCCACTCTGCAAAAGTGGTATTCAAATTCTAATTGGAAAAAGATATCAGTGGTTAGGATAGATGTACTAATCTTTTATAGATTTGTTAGAAGCTACTAAGTATGCTCTACCACAACACTGACTTCCATGAAACACCTAGGGACGGAATACATTTGAAATCTCTGTCAAATTTGTCTAAAATAATTGTAGGATTCAATACCTAACGAAAATGGAGAAGGAAAGAAGACCGTGTTAAAATTAGGGTCAATTTTATAACTATTTGATCCCTTCTCAAAATGACATACTCATATTCTTCATATTATAATTAAAAAAAAAAAAAGATGATGCTGTGCTATACATATAGTTACAAAGAATGGGTGAATATATACACATGCTTATATAAATAGATATATGAATATATATGAATACATAGATATTTACTAACAAATATCTTTTTAGCTGATGTGGAAAATTCACCTTAGCTGCGGCTTGTGGGAGATCAAATGGAATACGCTGTCTAACTTTGGGAGGTAATTGTGTTAGAACATCATTCTTCAGCCTTCTGATCATTATTTTTCTTAAAAGTTGATGTAGTTCTTCTAAATTTGAAGCTCCTCTACAGTCCCATTGTTTTCTTTTACCAAAGAATCTGAAAATGAAAAAAAAAAAAAATCAATATTATTTGGTGAATGCTAGCTATTGCAAACCCAATGGAAACCTTCAGTGCACAGTTCATTGTAAGACACAGATATGAAGGCATTTAGGATAACAATGCTCAGTGTTCCTGGTCAGAGAGATGATTGCTTTCTGTCTGATTCCTTCCAACACTCAAGTCACAGCTCTTAATTTCTAACCCACAGACCTGACTCCCCTTCAGACAAAGTCCTCTATCTCATCCCATCTACACTTCCCTTTACACACGTGAATTTTCCAGGCATCGCTAATCAGAAGAATCTACCACAATGCTTCTTTATGATATTAAAGAGGGTAACAGCTGATAAAGAAATTATCAGAGAACATCATTAAAATTCCTTTCCTCTCCCATCTGAATTCACTGTTATGTACATTCAGGATTCAAAGCTAAATGCTCCAGTTTAAAATGTAATTGTATTAAAAAAGCAAGGCTAAATAGGGGAAGTAGATTAAAAGTTAAAAAGCTCAAGGCTAAAAAAGAGAAATAAATTAATAGCTGTGTTTCTTTTTCTTTCTTTTATTTTCAAGAACATGTTGCAAGAGAAGAGCTTTTCTGTGTCATCATCAAGAAGCAACAAAAACGTAGCATGGCAGATTTTGATGGGTTTGGAGAAAAGCCCAGGTAGCATTTCTCAAGGGCAGGAGAGTATTTTATACAAGTATGTAAATTATACTGGTAATTACTGTTAATTTTTTCCTTAAAAGAATTTAAAAAAAAAGGAATTTTAAGCTTTACTGGGCTTATAAAGGTACTATTGATTTCAGATGGCTGATCATGACCAGTGTGGAAGGAGGTGAGGACTCATTTCTACACTGGCAAAATAGTGGCATAACTCACTCAGATTGCTAGACAGATGGAAGACAGATACAACTTTTGCTCTTATCTTTTCTTCAGTCTGTGGCTGTCCTTAGAAAGGATTCATCCCTCCAACTTGAGCACTGGGGATGGTAGCTGAAACACTTCGACCCTCATCCTTAGAAACAGGTGTCTATAAGCGCCTAAATAAAAAACATTTTCACAGAAAGTTCTGCATAAAATAAAGCTATCAAATGGATTACCACAGGATGTTAAGTTCCAGCCAAGTCATGACGACAGTATTATCTGTTGAGAGCTTGCTAACCCGAATTTGATTTTCAATATATTTATGGTATTCCAAAAATAAGATAATCATCTGTGATGGAGTAGTTAACCATGCTGTACCCACGCACACTTGTGGTGTGAAAATTACAGATGCATTTAGTCAAAACACCACAGAAAAAATAGCATTTCTCCATCTGAAAATCAGACAGCACTCTTCTATGTTATTAGACGTTAGATGCTGATAAAACACTTACATATGATAGAGGAAAAAAGGTCCAAGTTACATGAAAATGAAATTATGCGATTATTGCAGTGAAAATTAAATCTGAATGCTGGTCAATTTAGCTGACAAAAACTACTGTTTTTAGTTTATGCAAAATTGGGGGTAAGAAATTTTTTTAAAGCTTCTTCCCCTCTCATACCTTCTTACAGTGCCCATATTTAATCTCTCAAACAGAACTACAAACACACTACTGTGCTTTTGGGACCTTTCTCTCCTTCGGTTTGGTTAATCTAACATACGATCTTCTTTTCCCAAATATTGTAGGACAGCAAAAAGACTGGATCCCATAATAAAAAGAGATAAATTGTTAGGTGACATGAGCATAGGACTGAGAATCAGAAATCCAAGTTCCAGCACTAGCTGAAATGCCAGCTCAAAAGGTAAAATCTATACATTAACAGTAAATTGGCAAATCATTTTACTTAACAGAATGTTGGCACTTACACTTTCTCTCAAACTTTAATAGCTTCCAATTTATTCCTAAAGTAAAATCTCCCATCAATTCAATCCTCTTCCCAAACATCTCTAACACTGAAAACAAAACCCATGCATGTGCCAACCTATCTTCTGTTTAAACAATATATTTTTTACATTCTTTCTCTGTAAGGTCCCTAATTCACTTTGATGGCAGAGATGGTATCACAGAATGGCTTGGTGTGGTCAGGATCTCAAAGATCACTTAGTTCCAATCCCCCTCCTGTGGGCAGGGTTGCCAATTACTATATCAGGCAGTAGATCAGGCCCCATTCAACCTGGTCTTGAACATCTTCAAGAATGGTGCATCCAAAACTTCTCTGGGCAGCCTGTTCCAGCACCTCACCTCCCTGGGTCTCTAAACATGATGGTATAATACAGCAATAGAGACACTACTTATTGGTTCTTTCATTTCATATGAGAGGAAAATCAAAGTCATTCATGAGAAGATAAAAGGGCAAGTACAGTAATACCTCAAACGAGCATCACAGTATTTTTTGGCATATTCACTCCAACTTCCAAATCTTCCTGGAAAAAGTGCCTCAATCTGCATGAAAAGCTTTATAAAAAGAAATGTCAGTGACAAACTGCCTTCAAGGATAATACTATTCAGAAATAATTCTCACTTACTGCATGTTTATTGTGTTAAGCTTATATTCACCAGCTGTACTAATCATGCAAATAACAAAATTCCATGCCCAATATTACTGATACTATTCCTAAAAAAAGAAAAAACACCACACAGGATGCTAAATACCTCTTCAGGTCTTCCCAGAGCAGGAGTTCCAGTAAGAAGAATTGCTCTAATGGCTTTCTGCACAATTGGCAATAAAATCTTGCTGCGTTTAGCATTTCTGGATTTCATATAGTGTGATTCATCAATCACAACTACCTTGAAGTTCTGCCTATACAGAGTGTCTACTAAAGTCTGGGCATCAGAAGTTAACAGGCCATATCCCAGAATCGTCACTTTGCTGCTTGATATTCTCCTAAAAGGGAAAATTCAGAAGTTGTCTTAGTACATATTTACTGTAGGAAAATTAACATAGCAAACAAGTTCCAGAAAGATATTTTTTTTTAGTAACAGAAGGTATGTATGATGTCTTTTGAATTGGCTAGTAATAGAGTTGCTAGATTGACTAATATTGGCTATTCAATTGAAAAAAATTCTAGCATCCTACATTTCTAAGTCACACACATTTCATTACCATTTTCAGGGGACATCATTGTGGTTGAACACCAACAAGCTAAGCAACATCATGACAGACTCACTCACCCTCCTCAAAGAGACAGGAAGAAAATATGGTGAAAAAACCTTGTGGGTTGAGATGAAGACTTCTTTTTTTTTTAATTTAAAAAAACCAAACAAACAAGTATTGGAAATGATTTCTCACAATAGATTTTAAAACATACAAAGGCATAAAGCACAAATTGTTTTTAAAATCACTAGAGAGCACTGTAGCCCTTCAGGAGCCTTTAAACACAGAAACACAAAGTTGTTAGACAAACAAGTTACCAGAACAAGACACATAGCTGATCTATTCATCTGTCAGAAACTACAACTCTGCTGGCCTGATTTTTATTTTTTCTCCAGTAGAAAGAGATCAAAAGCCAATCCAATAATCTAAAGTCTCTTACAGTATTTAAGAACAATTAAAGTTTGTGCATGTGTACATCCATGCTTCTGGACACGGAAGAAGAGGCCTAAGCATATTTCAACCTATTTATATTAAGAAGGTAACCAACATTCAAGCAGTACACTTCATTGTTGAAGTTCAGAAGGAAAGCAAAGTACTGAAATTAGAGAAATCAAAAGGTTGAAGATACAGCAGCACAATTTCCCAAAGTGCTAAACCAAGTGTGTCAGCTCTGTTTTTGGATTTTCTTGCAAATGCATAAAGCATCCTTTATGTTAAAATATTGATTAGTTCAACAGCTAGGAAGCCTCCTGGGAATTAAACAGAAAGCCAAGCTTTCCTCTTATCTCATTGAGATGTAATGGTTAAGGTTTATTCCTTTTAAGAACTTCAGAACATAAAATGAACAGAAATCCGTTTGCCATTTCCTTTCGTCTTCACATTTCCCTTATTCCACATTTCTCTTTGCTGCATTCAGCAGTATAAGCATAGAGTTTTTATGTGCAGTTTAACTGAAATGCTAAAAAAAAACTCTCGCTCAATGGATCTTTATTTTATTTCCCATATTCCTCTAACAGCTTTATTTTGATTAGCAATAGGTAATTATCCCTCAATTAAGATTTTAAACATATTTTGAATTGGATTTATCTGGTTATGGTTACCCCAAGGAGGATTCCAAGCTACTTTCTCATCTGCATGTCTTGGCAGTCCATTCCTGATACTCTACAGACAAGTTGGAAGTCAATCTACTTTGTCCAGAGGTCTTAGAACAATATCTAGACACTGCTGTGAAATTAACCAAGTTATTTAAAGCAAAACAGATTACAAAATACCTTTTTAGTTCAGTGTTTCCTTGCAATAGGAGAGTTATTTTAATAGCACCTAAGACTTGTAGTCCCACTGTAATGAATTCATGCTACTAAGTATAAAGATAGAAAACCTGGATCACAATGACCTTCACAGTTAGAGAATGCTTACTATAACATTTAAATTTCTCAGTGCTCTACATAGAAAGTTAGCTGTAATGAAATCTTTATTTTCTAATCCATACTAGAATTGTTTTCAAAAATGTATTCAAAATGTTTTCCAGAAACTAACAAGTACAATACATCAGAGCTGACACATGACCAACGTGTTCAATACAAAACACCCCACAAAGTAACCAAATCTTCAGCAGACAGCCCTTGCTACTGTGCAAAAATCAGACCTCTCAGTTACAGAGACAAGAAACAATCACAAAACCCAACTCTCCGCTGAAACATAAAACACAATTTAAATTTCTTTTATCTTTATGCAATCCTTACTTTTCATTATGATCATATATATCGTATGTTTTTCACATACATACTGCCATCAATTTACAGAAGGAAACAGGACTTTCTATACAATAATAATGAACTTACCCAGTATCAGTTTTGTTTTGAATAATAATAACATCATCTGGAGATAGTTCTGGAATCCATTTTTCCATCTCATCAACCCAAGGATATCTCAGAGATGAAGGCACTACTATTAAGAGAGGCCATTCCTTCCTGTAGTAGTAGGAAATAGCAATTGCTTGAATTGTTTTACCTAGCCCCATCTGGGAAAAGGAAAAAAAAGTAAAAAACAGAAGTTATGTTCAGAAATCATTGTTACTACAGTTATCTACAATGAAAGAAGATACTTCTCTTTAAAGGAATTCATACATACTGCATATTTGGTTTGCTTATTAAAGCTACAAGTATCTTTTTCAGTGATTTCAGAAGGCTTTTGGTTCAGAGACTTAGTAAGATAGACTAGGAAGTTGACCAAACTCTTCAACTTGTTAATTTGTCAAAAATATAATAATAAAAAAAAACTATTCAAAGGAAAGATAAATATTCCTAAGATGGAAATTTCCTCAAACTTCCTTCTGCTAATTAACACCTGAAGTAAGAACTTGGAACCTACATCAGTCCTCAAACATTACCTCTTTTACATTAAGTTTTTATACATAACTGTAACTTTTTATTACAAAAATATTTTATCTATGGTAAGAAATTACAAATTCAAATTTCCATAATATGGACTAAGTTTAAAAATGTTACAAGTCATGAATTTCACTATTAATGAAAGTACACCCTAGGTTTGCATCAAATTCAGTATTTTCTATTTTCCACTTCAGTATTTTCAGAACATCTAGATAATATCACAGGAATTGGGCTCCATTCCCTGCCAACTTTCCTGAATGAAGCACATTAAAACAAGAAAAAGAGATAAATAACTGGAATATCACTTACCTCATCAGCAATCATACACCTACAGGTGAAATAAGGGGGAAAAAAAGCAGAAAAATTAATAGTAAATATAACTGATAAACCAATCATTATAAATTGCTTACTATGAATTTAAGTTACGCATTCACTGAATCCTAAGGATTTTCTTTGTGACTAAAGGAAAAAAGATAGAATTCCTTTTTAGTGTACTTTTGACAATAACAATACAAGTAATTTTGGTATGATTGTAAAAGTAAGTACACCAGTTACTCTAAAATGGCATATTCAATTTGTTAGTATTATTGAAGAACATACACTGTGGAATTGAATTGCTGCTTTGGTTTAGCACTATATTAAATGTAATCATAAGAGACTGTGAGAAGTACATCTTCAATTTTATTGTCTTTCAGAAACATCATTGGTTTTGCTTCTTTGCGATTAAGGGTCACTTCTATAGCACACTGATTTAGAAAAAAAAGTCACTTCCAGAGGTGTTTCATTTGTTCTGAAATTGAAACAGACATCCTCTCACCTCCCCAGCTGTACAGGGCAAAGCATTAGAAAATGAACTTGATTTTTTTCCATTTAGAAGCCCAAGTGAAGAAAATAATGGCAACTCTACAGGCAAAAGCAGGAAATTATTTAAGTAAATGTATACTTCCTGAACAAACACCACCTGATATAAATTTCTTTAAGGTATGTTACGTTATGTCTTAGTATTAATATTCATAAGTCTGAAAGGATCTCGGGAACTGAAGTACTCCTGGCCAACACAAGCTCCTTCAAAAACATTTTGAAATTGGAGAAGGCCAATGGAATTATTTGATGGACATTCAGTTACACCATCAAATGGCTGACATCACGTATTTCCAAACGTTGTACCCTCAGCTATTTTACAAACTTTTAGCTCTGCTATTGTACAAGTTCACACAAGTTGGAAAAAAATACACCTCCCAAAAAACCAAAATCCCAAGGAAAAAAGAAGCCTCCAAACACACAAACAAACCCAAGCAAACAGAAAAACAAAGGTTATCCAATTTGAAAGAATTATCTAAAGAATTAAGAGTTTAATTCTTGTAATTAGTAGGTAAAACACCTACATCATATTCACACACCAACAAATTCAGAGGAAGACAAAAACTGTTAATCTAAGAAAGAAGAAAAAAAAATCTACTCCCTTAAAGTCTTGCAATAACGAGAGTGACTTAAAGTTCTGCTCTCCTGTAACAACACCAGACTACACAAAGCTTCAGACTTGCTAAGAACCTTCTTACCACAATCAGTGCTAAGAGTTACAAAGCAAGATCTAAAACGAGCACAGTGACAACTTCTATCTCAATAGCATTCCCTGCTTGAGTTTCAGCTAAGTAACTGGAGGTTAGATTAATCCTCCACCTAATAAGTAATCTGAGGAGTTTTTCAAGCACTGTATAAGTTTCCAAATTTTCATAAAAAACAAAGTGGAAGAATTACTCCCATTGTTTTGTATCATAGTGCCACACAAAAGGCTTGGTCACACCATTGAGAAATACAGCACTGAATGCTGCTGTTTGAACTGAATGGCAGCAATAGATTGACAGCTGCATGCAGTCCATCACTTCGAAGATTTGTAGATGTTTACTGACAGAAAAGCATCAAGTCTCAGAAATGGAGACAGTTCAAGCTCCAGGAGAGAATGAACTTCACAGGCCACTCTGCTTGTGCCCCATCACAAAAAAAAAAAATCAAAAGCCCAAGGACTTTTGCCTTGAGCTTTTGCTTCCTATCCCCAATAGGATTCAGTCACAGACACAAATTAGTCTTGATTAATTGCTCTGGATGAATTCCCTACTGCCTGTTCCCCACCAATGCATCTTCTGAGAAAACAAACTTCTCTGCCACACAAGCAGATGTGCACCCACTGCACCATGCAACTCAAATGAAACACTCCTTCTGTGAAAAAAACTGAGATCTTCCAGGTCTCTGCAACTATAACTAAATTTAACATATCGAGACATTAAAATTCTGTATTTTGATACTAGAAACCGTTTAAAATAATACAGAACTGCTTTTTCAGTGTTGGGTGTATGGAAATTCATGTAGGTACTCAAAGTAGTAACAACATCAGCTGTGATCACATTCAATGACATAAATCTTGCCATGAGGCCAAAATGGACATTCCTGTGGCCAAACTACAAAGCTTGGCAGAAAACACACAGTGGCAGTTCCCAGATCTGATGTGCTGGATACAAATTTGATGCTCTGAGAGCTCTGGCACATTGATGCTTGCTCATTCAACCTGAAAGTGTAGATTTCAACATCAACATTTTCTTCCAACACACACAAAAAAATAATATGTGTATTATATAGCTTGAGTTTTTATAAGTTGCTGTCTACTTGTAATTAACTTTGTAACAGTACCCTCTGCTTTTTAGATGTTTTCCACTTCAAACATGGTTGGGATGGAACAATCAAAACAAAGAAAAAAACATAACAAAATGTAACTGCTAAATCCACACAGGCAAAGGAAAAAAAAAGTCAGGCAAAGGAAAAAAAAGGCAGGAAGAGAATTATTTTTAGTGGCAACTCGAGATTTTGGAGCCTTTATGTTTGTGATTTGCAGAAGGGCAGAGACATTAATTTGCAGGCAACAAATACACAATTCTATTTTTAAATAATGCCATACATTGCTTACTTTAAAGACTGAATTTTTCCATTTAATACAAATTGCTTCAATTATACTTCTAAAAAGAATTCTTCCTTGCAGATTCTTAAAGGTGGCAACTTCTTTCAGTAGACTGATTTTTAAAAACAGTTTGAAGACTGAAATGAAGTGGAATGTACAACAACCTAACGCCAGAGAATCATTATTCATTTTAGTTTTAACTCCTTAAAGAAATGCAGAAAATGAGTAGCAAACAAATGCAGAAATATAGCAATAAGCTACATACAGAGCAGAGGCATCACTGATGAAGCTAAAAACATCCTTTAATATTATATTTAATCCTGAAGGATATCAAAGCGAATGCACAAACACAGCAATATCTGAAAGTACATTGCATTCAGTAGCATCTGCTGGTAAGGAAATGTGGCAGAGAGAACAGGAATACAAATGTTCCTTGCCATCTTGTGCTGATAAATACAGTATTTCTCAGTATATCAGCTTCTATTTTAGCACAGTATTTTAAATAATGAAATGAAAACCATGTCACTTTAGGCGTGCATCTCCTACACAGCAGAAATAAATCTACTTTAGTGTGAGCCACGCATTTTAAAGAGATCAAAGTGAGAATACATGAGGTCCTATTGCACTGTGTTTTGGCGCATGCAAACCAACTACTTGGACCTTCATTCTACCTTTCAGAGCAACAAGCCAAAATAAAGAAGTTTACAAATTGCTCTGACAATTAAAAGCTAAGAGCAATCAGAATAAAAACTCTTAAAAGTATGTCAGCCACAGGAACAGATTTTTTTCATTAAATGAAAATGATTTTCATTAGTTTACTGCAGCCATTTACACTTTGATGATTTAAGCATCTGCAGGACAACAGGAAGTTGTTCTATTTCACTGCTTTCAATTATTTTCAGACTCTGCACATAGAACCTTCTGTTTTCAGCTTCAAGTGAATATGTCTTAGGTGAAACCTGTTATGCAGCAGTGCTATCCAGAACAGCACATACAATTTGATCACTCACATCCATGGAAGATAAATACAAGCCAAAAGAGAAGTGGAAAAGAGCTAATAGGAAGATTAAGGGGCAGCTGAGCCTCCCGTGGTAGGAAACAACAAGAGAAATACGATTGCTTCATCTCCAGAAGGAAAAGCTGAAATGCAATGCTTGTTCCACCTCTCTCTGTTCTGTAAATTCACAAAAAAACAATTTCAGAGATAGAAATCACTACAGTGTTGGTACATAAAAGTCTCAGCCTATTAACACATTGAAGGTAGAAATTAGAATTATATTCTTAATTAGACTAATAACCGTATCTGTGAAGAATCACAAGGGGAAAAAAAGTTATTAATTACAAAGCAGAACCCAAATTTTACAAAGAATCAGCATGGACCCTGCCAGCAGCACAGGCCTCAGGACAAATCTCCAATTCTGTGTTCCCACACTGACAGTACAGTTTCTGTTAGCAGTTATAAAGATACAGTACTTCTACATACACTTCTCACCCTATTAAGTCTGAATCCCTTTGAAAGAGCTGTAATTCAGCAATAAATCTTCAAATCTAGTTCTCTCCCATCTGTTCTTCTACAATATTTGTAGTAAAAATCAAAGGCTGAAGCAGGGAAACTACTGGCTTTTCTTCCTATGCCTGCAACCCCTACATCATTTAGGCACTGAAAAATTAACTACACACATCACGGACTAACATGAATCAGGTGCACAAAAATTGTTTTTAAAGCTCCCCTGAAGTTTTCAGTCTTAGAACAAGTCTTAAACATGACTGCTCAGTGTAGTTACAACATCTAAGTAGTCCATTATCTGCTTTTTAAGGCACAAAAAATAGCTTATATACTGAGAGGGAAATCACCAAGAGTCCCCACATTTTATAACCACATCAATTAGTTTAGAAGTGTACGGAACTTCCCTATCATTATAGCCCAGATCCTACAGAACTCATCAGATATCTGATAGTCACATAAAACCATTCAAAAGAAATACCCCACATTTTGCTTTATGTAACCTTAAAAACACGCAGCCGCTATTTTTAACAAACGTCAGTATGTTCTACATTGCTGCAGTTAGACAAGCTGCCAACACGAACATAAAGAAACAGATCTTCAGATACACGGAAGGGACAAATATGTACTTTTAGTTCATATATTTTGACTGCAAGAAGACAGACTTCTCGTTCTCTGAAGTTCAATTAGTCATTTCCTCTCAACTGGTAGTTACCCAATTTGAGCTTCATCGTTCATATCCCATCTGTTCATTTGACACCTTAATAATAGCTCTATCCAAGAATAAAAAATCAGAGCTATGATACGCACTTTCGCATCCTGTTTTAGGCTCAGCCCACATGGTCAAAAGTTTCAGAAGAGCAGGAAAAATCAT